TGAGCAGAGTAGTCCCAGGGAAAGTGTCTGGGAGGCAGGTGGGAAAGGGCACAGAATGTCTGGGAGGGGCAAAATTGGCTAGGAAAGGGGAGAGTAGCATGCAGGATTTGAAGATTAGGTGTGTCAAGGGCATTAACAACCCTGATCATCTCTGTGAGGCCCACTCCTGTCCTCCCTCCCACCCTGTGGCCAACTCCTGGCCAAGTCTCCCTCATCTAGGATTACAGGATTGTATGCGAAGGGATGAAGACTGGAAATCCCAGGCTAAGGATTATGTCCTGCACTCCTGAGAGATTATGTCCTGCACTATGTCTGCTGTAACAACCAGACCTGCAGAAATAAAGCTATTTGACCTTATCCAAAAAGCTCCCAAAATTCTGACTAAAGCAGCCATTGCTTTCATCCTCTGGCATTCTACAGCAACTTCTCTGGTAACTCCATGATTTATTTGCCCTCCCCTCGACCAGGTGCTCTAAGACCTCCAGCCCAAACTACCCTGCTCACTTTATCACCACTTACAAAGCTTCTTCTTCCATTTTTTGCAGTTCCTGCCAGAGAACTCTGTCTTCCCAGGTCATTCTTGCCAGTGTCCCCCTCACAAGTCTCCCCTTATACATCTTCTCCCTTTGGTGACAGCACTGGGGGCCCAAATGTGCTGGGTCCCTTCAAAAGGCTCATGTTTTTGAGACCTACTAGGGGATTAGGGGTGGTTACTGGGGAGAGTTTCAACTGGAACATTATCTCAGGCGCTAGGATCTGCAAGCTGCCCAGAACCACCTACCTTATGGCTGTGGGCACTTCTAGAGGGGAGTCACTTCCTAAGGAAAGGTCTGTGGCCCCAGGAGTCTACAGGGGGCCTAGTGACTGCTACTTCCTTGGGGCATTTCCTGTGAAGCAGTGACCTTTTCAGACTGGCCTGGTCACACAACACTTATTCCCACCTGGGGGGGTAATATACCTGCTAGCAAGGGTCATGGTTCTCAGCTGTGCTCTGGATGAGAAGCCAGCAAGTCATTCCAAAACAAAGGCTGTGAGGCTGTAGGAGGGAGGAACTTCCACCCTGAAAGCCTGAACGGGTAAGGCTGATTGGCAGGCATGGAGAGGCAGGAGCCAGATATAGTAGAGATGATGGGTTACCATACTTGATGAACTTCTAGGCAGGATGATGGATTGCTCACATCCAGTCATGAGTGGTTCCACAGTCCAAAGGTGTCCTCACAATGCTCCCCAGGAGTGAACAGTCAAGGTCATTTGGGAGTTACCTTAGGATGGCCCAGCATAACCTGAGACTGAGATTTTAACGTGTTTCAATATGCACTGCAGGCTCACAAGAGCAGTACTCACAGAGGCCACAAGGGGGAAACAATCCAAACCATCAATTAAAGGGTGAATCCAGAGGAAGTAATAGGTGTTTCAGGACAATGGCCACCACAGAGAGGATGGGTGGTCCATTTAGCCGTGCCACATAGCTGAATTATATTGACATCGATATATGAGAAAACTACCTAAGGATGTATTTCTCAGGATGGGTCATAAAAAGGAGTGAAGCTGGCCCTCCCTGGTGGCGCAGCTGGGTTAAAGCACAGCACTGAAAAGCCAAAGCCACTTCCACATGAGTTCGACTCCTGCCTGTCCCGGAGGTGACCACATGGCGTGGCAGACCTCTCCTGACTCGCCCGCTGTTCCCCTCAGCAGTGTACTTCATCCATCTGCCTGTTCTGCTCCTCTGTCTCTGGTGAAGCTTCTCACCGCCTGAGCCTTTGGCCTGTACCCCAGTTCTGTATGCACAAATAATAAATCTTAAAAAAAAAAAAAAAAAGAGTGAAGCTGACACGTTACAAGAAACATGACACTGAAAGAAGCCAGAAAGGGACAACTACTACATGGTTCCACTTATATGAATGCCCAGAACAGGGCATTTCATCCAACAGAAGACTGGTGGTTGTCAGGGGCTGGGGGAGGGGAGAAGCGGGGGAGACAGGAGAGGTCTGCTGGGCCATGTGGGTCATCTTTCTGAATGGGGGTGGAACTCTTGTGTTATGGCTGTCGATAGCTTCTTAGTGCTGCTCTTTAACCCCTTGTGCTACCAGGGAGGGCCTGGATGTTCTTGAGTAGGACAAGGTGACAGCTGCATGACATTGTAAATGCATTTAAGTGCCACTTAACTGTACATGTAAGATGACTGTTGGTCACCTTCACCTCAGGGACAAAAACCCTCCTAAACCAAACCCTAGGCACACAAAGGCTGTGTATATTTCCTAAGAACAAAGGGGACCAGATATATGAGCAAGTCCATGGCAAGTGTCAGGGCGAACAGGCAGAAATGCAAACCTGAGAAACTATATACTGGGGTTCCCACCCTCCCAAATGTGACTGGGCTGCAGAAGCACAGTGAGCAGGACTAAGACTGGCATTCAGCAGATCCCCTGGTCCCAGGAAAGGGGTTCCATATCCTCACATCCTTGCTGCACTTGGCTGGGAGGGTGAGAGTAATTTCTGAAGTGCGAATGACAGGGGGAGACAGTATGACAAAGATGCAGCAATAGCTCCAGCAAGTTTTACTTCAGATATATAGGAAATTCACAGATGGGAAGCTATTTTATATGGTTATATTTGTAACACAATATTTTATATTTACAAATTTTTTTCTCCTGATTAAAAGCACCAGCTGAAGTTATAGGATGCTAAAACCATATTACAAACCCATAAAAAGACATTATGCCAAACATACTTATTAAAAACCCTCAACAAAATAGACAATGCAACTGACAAATACGTTTTTGTACTAGGCAGCCCTTGCCAGCTTTCCTTGCCTGCGTTCCCAGAAAGTGGGAAGGGAGTGCTCACCCCTGGGAACAGACCTAGCCTCGCCTGCCTGTGGGCCACTGCAGGGATCAGGTGTGTGTGTGGGGAGGGGGGGGCAGTAGGCAGCTGTGTCTTTAAGGGACTTGTGCCTCCTGGTCCTGGCTCCACAATGGACAGACCTGGGGAGGGGAGTGTCTGACCAGTTCTCAGTAATTTACCTTCAAAGAGGAAACTTCCTACTACTCCTTTGTCCCATACACAGAAGGGTTTGGAGTTTTTTACTTATTAATGCTTACTATATGACCCTGTGTGCAATACCTCCTTGGGGACTTGCTTGCTATCTCTTAAAATCTTATGATTGAGAAACTGGGAGCCAGAGTCTGAACTCAAAGGAAGAACTTATCAAAAGTTTCATGGATCGGAAGATGCTGCTGTAAAAGGGCACAAAGCTTGTGCACATGTACAATCACATGGGGTTCAGTGCCCATAAAGCTGCGTGGGTATTAAATGTTGGATTGGTAACTGTAAACTCATCCTTAACTTTACACGTAAAGAACAGGTGGTCACTAAAAGCATTTGAACATCAGAATGGATGTTAAATTTTGGGGTTCTTATTTCAACTGCTCTACATACAAAAATCCCTAGAAGCAAAAAAAATAAAAAATAAAAAAAACTTCAATAAATATGCAGAGACAAACATGATGCACGGTGTGATTTAAGAAACTCAGGTCTGGAGAGGCCAAGAGGGTTCCAAGCCAGCAGGTGTGGCCATGGGGAGACCAGGCTCCATCCCTTGGTGGAGGGAAGACAGGATGGGATGGCTTATGGTCAGGACACCCTCCCCCGCAGGATTTAGGGGCCCGGGGTCGGAGGTGTGAGCTGGGTCAGGTTATCTTGGGTGACCCAGTATGTTAACAGTGGGTCCTCCCATATGATAACTCCTGCTGGCCCATCCCTCCGACTGGTGCTTACTTGCTTACCTATTGCTGGCCCCTAAGTGGGCAGCAGGGGCCTGTGCCAGAAAGTTGGCTGACAGCCCTGTTGTGGCTAAGGCACACTCAGACCTGAAGGTCAGAGCAGCTAAGTGACCTGAACAATCCCACCCACACACCCTCCATCACAGACACAATGCCTTCACAGTGCAAGGTAACAAGATGCAGATTAATGAGTCAGTCCAACAGTCCACCACCTTGTGGTAGGACACACTGGAGAGGAAGGCTGCCTCAGTGGCTCTGCTGACATTTTCCCAGACTGAGAGGCCCAGGATTTGGCGTAAGTGGCTGAGATCAGCAGAGCCTTCTGGGGTTCAACGCTGCCCTGAGAAGCCCAAGGCAGTTAGTTCCTTCCTGCCTTCAGAGAGCTGAGTGGGGAGAGGGTGTGGGTAGCCTAGCAGCTGCCAGGAAGCAATCCCCTATCTTCTGGCACCCTGAGTTGGACTGAGGAGGATTTCCTACCCTCTCCACTGCTTCCTACCCCACAGTGGGGATACTAACAGGGGTTGGGAGCTGGTGCCAACATAGGAGTCTTAGCTCCTGCTCATTCAGCTCTGTGATCTGCATCCCACATGAGCACATACACACACCCACGCCTACAAGTACGTGTATCTTCATGGCCAGATGGTGCAAAGTCAAGTTTCATAGGTTTGGAAGCTGACTTCCTGGGTCCCCGAAGACCCTTGACCAGAGAGGCCCAACTGTCTGAAGGGTAGACACACTGCAGAGAAAGGCAAGCTGGGAAGCATGGTGAGATGTTTTGTTCCCAACATGTGCCATTTCTTCCTTCCAATTTTGGGCATCTGGCCTCTGGAAGCTGCCACGACTGAGGAAAGGCTCCAGATGGAAGTGGCGTGGCGATGCCCCAGTGGTATAGCTCCCCACACTGCATCCTCTGCCCCTGGGGCAGGAACAATCAGGACCCAATACTTCACTTCCCACCCAGATAAGAACCCCCTGTAGGCATGACTCAGATGTGTCCAAAGGACTAGCAGAACAAGTCCACTTACAGGCTGGCTCTGGAAAGTTTGCTCCAACATCCCACTTAGTGCCTTAGGACTTGGTACCAGGTCCTAATAAGGCAGGAACAGCTGGTTGGCTCCTCTGGGGAGCATGGGAATTGATCCACATACTCCCCAGGAACTTGGAAGCTCTGGACAATCAGGAAAGAAGCCTGAGATGCCCACGCCAGCACATGTCCGAGGAAAGCTCAGTGCTATTTGGGTGGAAGTCAGGAATACAAAGGGCCCCTTCGGTACTCCAAAAAGCTGGGCAGTCCTCTCCAGGGCCTCACAGGAGGCTGGCCAGGCTGGTATTGGGTCCATTCTGAGCTTGGAACTGCACCGGAGGAGGGCCATCAGTCCACTGCAGGGGAGAAGGCACAGCTGAGTTCCTCCCTGGGGTAAGCACCAGACACAAGTCTGTGCCTGGAATGCCACCCTCCTTGGCTAGCCACCCAGTCAGGGTCCACACGCTCCAACCAGGTTCATTAATCCATGGGAAACAGCCTGAACTGCTTTCATCTGAGGGGTCCCTGAGGTTGAGCTGGGTTTACAGGAGATATGAGGGTAGGTGACAGCCAGTGTGTTCTTCCCTTCCTAGGGTGGGTGCCCTAGGGCTAGGCTAGGGGAGATGTGCTCTGTCCCAACTGCCCTACCGTGATGAGGTTGTGCTCAGGGAGACTGCAGGCCTCAATGTGGTCCTGGAGCAGCTGCTGGGAGAAGTTCTGGTGCATCTGGGCAGCTTCATGGGCGTCCATGGTGTTCCCGCAGGCCTTGTTCAGGTCTGAGTAGGACATGAACATGTGGATCACCTGGCCCACCCCACCCCACACCTTTCCCTGTGGTTATGGCAGAGTCCTAACAGGTGTCAAACCTTGGCACCACCTGGAAGTCACTCGTGCCCTCCTGAATCATGTATCCCCAGAAGCAGATGAGCAGCAAGGTACACAGAACATAGATGGCTGTGGAACAGATTCCGAACCTCTAGAAGTTGGTTCGAGCACGACCCCAGTGCCCACTTCTGAGGCAAAAGGACCAGAGGCTCACCCAGTCCCCTCCCATGGGCAAGACTTTGAACCCTCCATTTCACTCTGTAAACAGGGAGTAGCAGTTACATCAGAGACATCTGCTGCACACCTGCCTGCATCCAGGGTGCCAGGAGTTCATAGCCCAAATCTACCATGCATAGAGACCAGACTCTTGGGTCCAAGTCTGAATTGGACCCTGCATCCTGCTGGCACTGTGAAGTAGCCCAGCATACAATGTCCCCTAACAGCCTCCTAAAGAGACTGGAAGTATGCTGAACTGGGACCTTGGCCTTCAGCAGCCCCAACTACTGGGAAAACACACGCACTCACCTCTCAGCAGGGCAGATGACCACAGCTGCACGGACATGTCAGGGATTTTGCTGGCCAACTGCATGGCAGGCACCACCATGTTGTTACTCTCCTGTCAACCAAGAATAGTTGGGGGAGGGGTGCTGGTATAGGCCCAAAATGTGGTCTCCAGTAGCCTAGCAAATTCTGATCCTTCTTCAGAGTTCATCGCCAATGGTCCTCTCTGAAGAAACTCCTCAACCAACTCAGGAAAAAACAAGCTGTCCCCACCTCTTAGTTATGCACCTGCTTCCTCACTGGGGCAGGGCTGGTCATGGGCAACTCTGGCCTTTGCCTCTTTCTAACTAGAGAAAAAAGCACTGGTGGTAGTCACCTCTAGACTCTGATCCGAAGCCCACTATAAATGCAGATCTGGGGCCCTGGGGACTGGGAGGAGGCAGTGATTAGGCCCAATGGGGGTAAGAGGGCTGAACAGGCAGGGAGCATTCTCGCTACTCACTTACTCACCTGGGAGGCTACCAATACACATGGGGTGAAGGGCTACATTAATCCTTCAGTGTTCAATGCATCCCCCCATGCCCCTATATCTAGGCTGTGCAAGTGAGTGACTCTTCCTTGCTGAATATTATGGGGTTGGGATGAGATCATCAAAAGGCATGGGTGGTACCTCCTGCACCACGTGGGCCTCCTGCCCACTGGCCTAAGCCCTCACCCTATGATTCCCCAACACGTAGAAGATGTGGCCCAGGAGCACAAGGGAGCAGGCTGTCAGCCGGTTCAGGTCTTCTGCATTGGACATCTTCAGAGTCTCTCGCAGAAACCGCCTAGGCAAGGAGAATATGCTGAGTCCCAGCAGGACATCTTCAGGGAGGGGAAGGAAGCATCAGCATAACGGCCCTATGCAAAGTCCACCTGGTGGTGGGGCAGAAGGCCCAACACTGAGTACTTACTTGGCCTCATTGTAGCGTCCCTGAAAGAAGGAGAAAAGCCCACGTACGTAGAAGGCTGCTGCTCGGAGGCAGTGGGAGCTGTGAGAAAGAGCAGAGGTTTGTGAAAGGTTTATAAAAGCAGAGTTACAAAAGATGAAGGCGAGTGGTTGCCAAACATCAGGGCATAAGAGCACTCACACTACTTGTAAGAGCAGAGACTAAGTAAGAGTTGTGGGACTGGGTGCAGATGCCTACCTGACAGGAAAGCTGTGGTCTGGGTTGATCCTCTCCAGCAGGCTGTAGAGCTGTGAGGAAATGCCAGTCAGCATCTTTCTGCCTCTTTGACCACTAGTATGGCTACAACTGACCGCTGGTACCCTCACCCAATCCCACACCTAAGCAATCTTTCTTACTTCCCAGGGAAACTTGGTCTTCAGTGGAAGGGTCAGGTGGGGGACCTCCCAGTGCAGGAGAGAGTGTAGGGGTGCTAGGCAGTGTTCTGCCCTTGTCTTTCTATAGTCAGAGGGTCTAGAGTGAGGAAGTAAGGTAGGAAGGTTGGCTCACATGGGCCTTTTAGGTAGGGTTTATTTAGAACTCTGGGGGCCTTAGGAAGCCCGATAACATTTTAGCGTCATGACTCTCTGGCTGTCAGGTGAAGCCAGTGTTAGGGGATTAAGAATATGAATGGACTGAGGTATCTCCTGATGTCTCCATATTCCCCCCAGCAGACAGACGTGCGGTATGGGAGCAAACACAAAGGGGAGCCAAACTTTTTTTTTTTTGAGCTGAGCTCTTTTTGACCCACCACCTGGCCCTGCCTGTTACTTCCTAAGTGCCCAAGCAACTGGAAAAGCTTTCTGCTCTCAGCTGCCAACATGTGACCCATTTGTGGTATGGGAATCATCTAACCTCTTTGAAGACAAGAGATGACAGTGGCCTGGACTACAGCAAAAGCCATGGGGGTAGAGAAAAGTGGATGAATATGGAGGCAGGAGTCCAGGTTGGGCAGAGGCCAGACTGGGGGTCATGTCTCCCAGGGCAATCTGGTATCAGGGCACCTCACCTTCCCCAACCTCAGAAGAATGGGAATCAGGACAACTTAGGAGATGAGCCCAGACTACTTCCTTTCTTGCTACGATCTGCTCCTCAGAACTGTATCATGAAGCCTCAATGACCTGAATACACACTTGTGGTAAGAGATTTTTTTTTTTCCTGTGGGATTCAATATAGTCTAGTTCATTTTCAACAGGGAGAAGTATAATCTGGCTATGGAGCATTTCTGTCCAGACTCATCTCCCAACCCAGGCCCTGTTGGAGGCAGATACTCTGGGCCTGCTGAGGTCTGGTGCCCTGGACAACTCCCACCCTAAATAAAAAGTTGAGAGAAAGGATACCAAACATGAAGCATGTCACCTACTACCTCTTGGTGTCTATTTCCTTCCCGTATATACACACTCGCCAGGTTGGTCACAATGAAGGCCCACAGCTCCTGGTGGTTGGTGAGCTGGAGTAAGAGACATGGGGTGAAGGGTCAGGTCAGGAATAGCCATATCACACTACATACACAGAACCACTCACGCTCCAAACATTCCATCACTCTTACTTTGGAATCTATCCTTTTTTGTTTTAGATGCATTCCTTTCTTTGCCTCTTAAACCCAAGGACAGTTTTTTTTTTTTAAAGATTTATTTACTGGAAACCTCCCTGGTGGCACACTGGGTTAAGGCACAGCACTAGGAAGCTAGTCGCAGCCACTTCAGCATGAGTTTAATCCCCAGCTGGGGGACTGACCCACAGGGCGCGGCAGACCTCTTCTGTCTTGCCTGCTGCTCCCCTCAGAAGTGTACTTTGTCAATCTGCCTGTTCCACTCCCCACTCTATCTCTGGTGAATCCTCTCACTGTCCCTGCATCTCTGGCCTGTACCAGTTTTTTTTTTTTTTTTAAAGATTTATTTATTTATGCATACAGAACTGGGGTACAGGCCAGAGGCTCGGGGCGGTGAGAGGCTTCACCAGAGACAGAGTGGGGAGCAGAACAGGCAGATCGACAAGGTACACTGCTGAGGGGAGCAGCAGGTGGGTCAGGAGAGGTCTGCCACACCATGTGGTCACCTCCGGGGCAGGCGGGAATCGAACTCATGTGGAGGTGGCTTTAGCTTCTCAGTGCAGTGCTCCAACCCGCTGCGCCACCAGGGAGGGCCCTGTACCAGTTTTTTTAAAAATTTATTTATGCATACATAACCTCACCCTCCCTCCCACTGGGGATGGAACTTGTGCTGAAGCAGCTGCGGCTAGCTTCCTAGTGCTGGGCTTTAACCCACTGCACCCCAGGGAGGGCCCAAGGACAGTTTTTTTAAAAAAATTATTTATACATACAAGAACTGGGGTGTAGGTCAGAGATGTGGCAGGTAAGAGAATTCACTAGAAACAGAGTAGGGAGCAGAACAGTTTATCTACTGAGTACACTGCTGAACAGAGCAGTGAGTGAGACAGGACAGGTTTGTCACACCATGCAGGTTACCTTGTTGGCTGAGGATCAAACTCATGTTATATTGGCTAGTGAGAGCCTGAAAGTGCTATGTCTTTAACCCCTGTGCTACCAGGGAAGCCTGGGACAGTTCTTTTTGTTACAAAAGACAACCATGTTATGAAAAATGTAGTAAACAGAAGAACCACAACACCTGATCCTGATCTTAGAACATGTGACAGTTTGATCTATTTTCTGCTTCTCTCAGAACTGAGAACCGAGTGGCCCCTCCCTTACCCAGCAGTTGGTGCCCTGTGGGGCTCTGGTCTATGTGTTCTTAGTGTCCCATCTGAAGGGTGGCCTGAGGCAGTAGGAGACTAGAAATGCCATCAATGGCTGGTGATGGACAGACAGTTGTCTCAGGCTCTTGGGAAGCAGGAAAAGCCAAGAGGGACTGATCTGAGTGGCCCAGACCTTGGCCAAGGGAACTTAGGAAACGTAGAACCTTCATGCAGGGTCTAGCACTTGCTTAGGAGGCCCGGGGGTTCTTACACTGTGAGTCTGTCCTGGGAGTGAGTACTAGAACGAGCCGGAGGTTAGGAGCTGGTTCTGCACTTCCCATGTGGCTGGTTGAAGTGCTCAACTCCATCTCAGCCAGTGGGCAAGACACTACAAAGTACATATCCTTACAAAGTTTTGGAATTTTGATGTCAAACCAAATTAGTAGCTTGTGAGAAGTGAGACAAGAGAACTTAGGGGGCCACATAGTTAACAGCAGGCAAAAATGGGGTGGGTGTGGGGGTTCTAGCACCACTGCAGTGGGTAGTGAGAACCAGCTGGAGGAACACAGGTGAAGGGAAGGGCCCGAAAGGGTGGGAAGGTGCCTTACCACTAAGCACACTAGCATGCTGCCAACAGGCCAGGGTTCCTATGCATCTCTGAGGCCAGGAGCAGGGGTGCAGTACTCATACTATGCAGAGCAGTGATGCCACCTTGGCTCAACTCAGGGAGTAAAGAGTTCTGAAGGGTCTCTTGAGGGGAAAGGGGAGCGCCTCATTTGACAGGGCACACATAGCACCCCAAGTGATCTTGTATGAGTCCTAGTCTTCCCTAGGAAGGTAGCTAGCCTTCTCTCCCCATGAGGATGCTGAGGACAAAGTGGGGATATTGGTCTGATCCCAGAGTGAGTCATGCAAAGCTGGGATCTACCTTGGAATTGGAGGCCACAGCCTTGGGTTGGGTTACTGTGGACAAAATGGAACAAGCCTATCCCAAGGCAAGCCTGAGACCAGGACATCTCACAGCTGAGCTCCTTCCTGACCTGGCAGGACAGGTGTCCTCTACCTGCAGAGCACCTGTGTTGGGTGGTACAGGGTTAAGCCTGTGCCTTACATGCTGGGCTCAAGTGCCAGCTCTGTCACTGACCATGGGACAATTCCAGAGAGCCTGTGAACCAAAGAGTGACTAAGTATCTTATGCTGTGACAAGAGTCAAGGCCAGCCTGGTGTGTTGTGCAGGGAGCTGGAAATCAGGAGTGAAACTAAATGAACTAGCATCCAGCCCATGTAGTGTTCCTGTGTCTGTTCCTGGGTTGGCTCCCTGCTCTCAGCTATCCTGTCACTCTGGGCTGCCAGCACTAGCCTTGTCTCCATATAAGTAGCACAGGACCTACCATGGAAAACCCTGGATAAAGGATGAGCCACAGTCATGATCAACCTCCCGTAGAATGTCCCAGTGCAGGCTGCTGACTGCAGTTTTATAAAACTCTCATCCACACCACAGACTGTGCCTGACTTCTCACTGAGCCCACCGCCCACCGCTCAAAGTGCTGGCTGGTACTTTACCCGCAAGGCTGTGGTGAACTGGGCTTCTGCGTTGTCCATGCAGTTGACCGAGACACAATATAGGCCCTGGAGGAAGAAGGTGCTGAGGGCTTTGGGCCATACAGCTCACCCGCACGTTGGGAGCTTGGCTTGGCCATATGGCTGCACCTGGATGAACTTGACAAGCAATTACTAAGCCAGCTACATCTGAGCTTTATCCTAAATCAAGAGGCAAAAAGACAATATACAAATACTGCCTGGGTCCTATGTCTACTTATACTCAAGATGCTTGTCAGAACAAAACTCACTGGGATGTTTCCAGATCTGCCTGGTATGGCAGTCCCAAGGGTACTTCCGCGCTTAGAATGGACCTGGCAGGTGGTCCCATACTCACCAGCAGTGTGTGCAGCTGTGCAGCATGGTTGGAGAAGAGCCGAGGAGATTGCTGGCATAGTTGGCAAACCTGGGAGATCTGCCAGAGAGAGCATAATCTCATGTTGACCTGTGACGAATTGGTGTTTTGACAGTACTAGGGAGAGACCCTATGGCTGAGGGATGTGCCCATGTCCTGCCCTCCCCTTCTTGGGCACAAAGCCACAGGAGATATCCTATTGTCCTTGTTAACAGTGCTCTTCGTTGGCCACCTTCCTTCTCCCCTCTTCCCAAATTGGGTCTCATCATATAGCACCTTTGCCTACTCAGGATGGCAGGCATGAAGTGACAGACCCTGGGGGAGGAGAGGCCAGATTTCTAGACCCACATACTTTGGGTATATGAGCTTCCAAGGGAAGGTCTGTTTGGATTTTGTACAGATTAATCTGAGCACTTGTGGCTACTATATTACAGCATGGTGACTTGATAACAGACGCTGACCTGAGGCCCACGTGCACAGGGCAGACTCTTACTGTTTCTGGCCTCTGTGATCCAGTGACCTGTAGCTGTCTGCACCTCAGGTCCCTCACCCCAACGGCTACCATGTGCACCCTCTGTGGCATTACCTCCTGCAGCGCAGTGGCCTTGTGACCTGTGACAAGCCTGCACATGATGATGTGTTCCAGCAGGATCACTTGGAAGGATGACAGGATGGGGCTGCAGTCCAGCACTGAGGACAAGCAGTAGGGTAAGCGTATGGCAAGGCACTAGGAGCCGTGGCCCCACCCACGTCCTGGGGCACATGCCTCCTACCTGCCTCAACCACACCAGCCACTCGGCTACTTGCTCTTTGGCAATGACCGAGCATCCAGTCCATGCAGTCCTATCAGTCCCTGCTGCACCCTCCAGTGAAAGGTCATCTCCATACTCACCACCTTTTAGTGCCCACTGTTCCCTCTCTACCCAAATAGGAAAGATGGATGACAGCCAGGCTTGGGCAACCAAAATGTTTTATCAGAGATTGTCTGCCATCCTCACCCCACCCAACCTAGTAAGATTCTAAAAAGGCTGAAGTTGCCCAGAGTGAGGCCACTGACAACTCTGCAGCAGTGGGGACCCTCAGTTGCTGGCCACCCTGAGCAGCTGTCTTCATGCTAGAAGCAGACAGCAAGCACAACCCTTTCCCAAATTGCCAGGGGAAAGATCCATGATCCCAAAAGATTTTGGTTGCATGGTCTCGAATTCCTGTCCTCCACTTCTCCCAGGCAGTGTGACAGCACAGGTGACAGAGTCAGGGAGATATCCCTCGCCCCACAGGATGATCAGTCATACATCTAGGGAGAACCCATAATCTCCAGACAAGTTTTATTACTCAGCAAGAACTGAGTTCCAATTCTGGCATGCTTTATGAGACCCCACACATCACCTGAGTTAGTTGTGCACTACCATCCTGCAGGCCCACATGGTCCCCTACCTCTCATGACCATCTGTACAATAAGGTCACAGGATTGAGAGGGCACAAGATCCCTGGTCAGGGGTCAAGGGCCTGGCCTGGCCTGCTCTGATCCTGGGTTACCACCAATGCCAACAGGGAAAACAAGCCCATAGGGCAAGGGTTCCTGCTGGGATCCTCAGACCCAGCAGGCCACATGGCCACACAACCAGCAAGCCTACTAACTCTTCAGTTTCTCCAGCTGCATGAGGGCCTTGTCTGTATACTTTTGTGCCTTCTCCAGGTAGCCAGCCTGCATGGAGTGCATCACAGTCACCTGAGATAAGAACAAATGGTGTCAGTGGGACTTTCTCCTTGTCCCGCCTCTTGCCTCACTGGCCCTACCCAAGACTCACCAGGTAGACAAGCACACACATGTGCTCCTTAGGCAGCCAGTGAAAGAGGTCAGCAGGGTTGCTGGGCAGGATCTCATCATCATGCAATGTGGAGATGGTCTGGATGCACTGTTGCAGCTGCTTCAGGCATGGCTTCACACTCTTTACCTGCAGCGGCAAAGGCACTGAACAACGTGCCATGTGCACCTGAGCCCTGCTTGCTCCACAGGTGCCAGGGGTCACTTCCCCAACCACCCTTCTGCCCCTCGCCTCCAGGAGCTCCTGCTGTGCGCACCTACCACATGGGTCAGCTGGGTCACAACTATGGAGGCTCTGCTGGCTTACACCACAGCCCGGGAGAAGCCTGTTTAAAGACTGCCGTGTGTTTTCTCCTTGCAGTGACCCCAAGGGAAGGATAAGGTTGGACAGGAGGTGGTTAACTTTAGGTAACAGGACAGCCCAGAAGTCTTGCAGGCACTGTGATTTCATACATAGGCTTCTGCAGAGAAGCCTTGTCCAAAGCTCCACAGGCAGTCTCTGAGCCTTCAACACTCTGGAAGAATCTGCTGTGTTCCTATACACTAAGCACAGAACTCCAACAGGAAAAGGAGGGTGTGGGTAGAGGAAGCCCCTGTTGGGGGTTTTTAGAATATTTGTTGCTGCCTGGTGGATAGTATGGAGTCATGACTCTCAGTCTTGGCGGACCCTGATTCTCTGCACCCTCTGCTCCCAAGGGCACAGGACATAGAACTAATTACGGTATAGGGAAGCTGAGCTCTAAACGACAGGCACATGGCATAACCGAGTAGCAAGAGGCTACCACAGATTTGTCTTGGCCTAAGGCTCAGCTGCACCCCACCTACACCCAGTGTTCCCTATGGGAGGTGCTACACACCTGCCCAGCATCCAGGTAGTGGGTCACCTGGAGCACCAGGAAGAAAACACGCAGAGACTCCTTCTGGATGGGGTTCCCTTGCCAGTTCTCCACTATCTGCCCGCACAGGGTGAGCAGTGGGTGGACTTCCTGCAACTTGCGCTCCATTAGCAGTAACTGGGGAGAGAGAAGCATAGGTGAGGAAGTTCTTCAAGGTATCCAGGACTGTCAGTGCCTGCCCTCCACCCCCACCCCACAAACCCCAGCACTGTGCAAAGATGATGCCAAGTGAGGTGGGAACCTGGTACAGTTAGCTGCTGCTTCTGCATGAATCCTACACCCTGGAATCCAAACCTTGCCAAGGGTAGGGTCCTGGCCTGTGACTTACCATCCCTTTGCTGAGCAGGAACAATGCTCTGGAAAATAAAGAGGGGGCGTTAGTGTGCTAAGTCCAGTGCCTCCTGGGAAGACGGTACAGCCTCAATGTTTATAGAGACCTACAGTTTTTCCTCAAAGAAAAACTGAGTAGATGATAATGGGGCGTAGTGAGGTATGTCCTATTCATAAAACAGCTCTACTATCTTATTTCATTCATTCATTCATTCATTCATTCATTCATTCATTTAGCAGGGGCATGGTTTAAACTCATGTGGCTTGAAAGCCTAGAAGATATAAATGGTGCTCATCATGTAGGGGCAGTTACAGAAAGGGCACCAAAATTCACTTTCAACATAAGCCAGAGGCTCTGCAATAGTGATTCCCAGGAGGGAGAGGGGACAAGACAGAGTTAAGTGGGCAGCCTCTGGCACCTGATTCTGATTCTCTATTTCCTTGCCTGTGGCTTTCAAGCCCTCTGGTTCCTGAGAGTTAAGAGGATGAATTTGGGAAAATGAGGTACCTCAGCAATTCCCACACCCATCCCCCCTCCAACATCAGCAAGAGACATGACAAAAAAGGGTATTTTTTAAAGTTTAGAAAAAAGCCAAAATAGTGGAGAACAGCTGTTCAAGTAGAGCCTATAGGTCCTCAGTCTGTTCAATATCTAAGAGCTGTCTGTCAGTCTGCATGGAGCCCCCCAGAAAGTGGGTGTTCTCCCCATTATATAGATAAAGGCAGCTGAGGTAGGGAGGTCATGGCATCCTAGCCTACCCCGCCGCTCCTCAAGGTTATCACAGAGCATGTATACCCCAGGATCTGCCCTCTGGAGTTCAGAAGGGAATCAGGGGCCATTTTGTGCCAAAGACTTAAAAATGGCCAAAGACTTAAGACTAGCTTCCAGTGACAGAACTTTGCAGAATCCCAATGTACACAACAGAACAAGAACACTACTATTTGGCACTTGTTTACTACATAGGGGGTCTTTGGTAGAAAAGTACAAACTGGAGTCCCTCACAAACGGTCAAAGTGCCAATGGCCTCTGACTTGACTCAAGGGCACCTTCTTCCAATGATCTAATCAAGTTAATGTGTCCCTGCTTTACAAAAACTGATTCCTGTTTGTCTCTAAAAGAAGCTGGGTCCCCTGAGCAGGATACACAAAGGTTGTCTACAGGAACTGCCAAGCAGGTAGGTACTCTGCAGGCACTGCCAAGCACGATGCTGCCAAGTGTGGTACAGTAAATGACAGAATCACCAGAAACATGCAAATTTCCGTGAGGTAACCCTCCAACACTGACTTTATGAATTGATGGAGGAAGAGGTGTCTTTTTAGGGGTGAACATTTTATTTGTATGTCCGTATCACGTTGAACTGCCTTTCTATTTGACACAGGAACAAGACAGACAGCTCTTCCAGGTAAGAGTGGGGCAGGAAATAGTGCCTACCGGGTATACTCGGATCCCACCACTCGGGCATACTCAGCCCCCACGCCCAGGAGGTCACATGCTGACACCAGGTCCTTTTCAAGAGTGTGCAGTTGCTGAAAAGAAGAAAGCGATGACCCTGGATGCACAAGGTACCTGCTCTTATTGCTTGGCTCACAGGTTAAACTGTATATCCCATACATCATTATGATGGTCTTAGCATCAGTTCTGGACTAAATTAACCAAATTACCTCATCACCATTAACTGCTTTGATTACAGATGCACTTATCCACAGCACAGCTATTTCAGCTTAATCCTGGCACTGAAATGCCCCCGGGCTTAAGTGAACATAGGCCAAAGACAACACCAGGAGGGAGAGGACCGAGCAGGCCTTGGGGAGATGGCTACTTCCCACCAATCACTTGCTTGTTGTTTGTCAAGTCATGCTGGGAGGTTTGTGGCAGACAAAGGCTGGAGGGGCTATACGAGCAGCTAAGAGAAACTACCAAGTGCCCACCAATTAATTCAGTCAGTATGTCCAGGCGTCTGCTGCTCCAGCTCTCCCCTTGCCAGTTATACCCAAATCTAGCCAGCCCCCATACTCACAGCCAGCTGAAAGAGCAGGCGGCAGTGCCAGTATGGGGTCTGCTGGGAGATCTGGATTGCCTTCCGAAGCAGTGGCTTTGCTGCATCAACAGAATTCTGAAAGGAAACAGGCAGGTTTGGGGAGGAAAAAACAAGTCGGTAGCAGCTGTGGTGCCAGAAGGCCACTCCTGTTCTCTCTCAGAAGGTTTGTAGGCTGCCAATTTATTTTATTGGGGAAAAGAGATTTTTATTGGCCTTACCAGCTATGAACTTTTTGCATCACTCTTAAAATTACTCCCTTTTCAAATAAACAAAGTAGCTTCAGTTCAAAACAGAACAGTAGAATTGGATGACAATCCCCACTTTTCCTTTTCTGCAATCAGTGAGGGATAGGGCATGAGACCATATCCCTGCTGCCCAGGCCTCATGCCTGGCCACTGCTCACAATGGGAAATCAGGACCCAGATTACGAAGGTTAGCTGCATGGATTTATTTGGAACAGATTATCTTTAGCTTAGGACAAGGATGTTTGTTCAATGCTGGGTAGGAAAGATTCTGCTGGTTCTCATTAGCAAGTGTTTACCTCAATGCTTGTGCTAGTGCACAAAGTAGAAAAATAATGGCAAGTCTTAATGACCACCCCACAAGACCTCAATTTATAACTGTCCCTTCACTATATGGAAAGGGAACTGGCTTTCAGAAACCTTCCTTTAGTCTTACCTCTTGACAGTACAATTCAGACAGAAGACTTGCCGCTTCAAACTTAACATCTTCAAATTGTGGGATCTTGTGGCATCCAGTTAAGGAAGTAGAGAGACTGCAAAGAGGTCAGTTTAAAGGGGCCACACCCAGGGTTCCTACACTGGAGAGGTTTGCTGGCTGTGAAACCCAAATTCACATATTTCCCAGCAACCCCCTATAGGAATGGAGCTCAATGCAGGGCATAAAGAGACCCACGGAGATGACACCCAGGGGAGACTGCTGATCTGTGGGACAGAGGTTAAATGGAGAGGTGGTCGTATGTGGGACTTTAGTCTATAACACATTCTTTTTATCCAAGGAGCATTTCTTAAAGGAATCCATAGCAACAAGACAAGGATACTTGCTGTGAAATCAACCACTGAAAGAAAAAGAGAAACGGATTATTTTCAGCCAAACTTGGGCACCCATTCAATGGCTCCACTCTGTCTTATACAAGTTTTCTAGCCACTGAAGGCTGCAGTTATTAGTCCAGGACGAAGGTGATTGAGGGGATGGCTCACCTTGCCTCAGTTTCAGAAGAAACAAGCACAAGTTTCCCTATTGTTTGGGCCTCTCTGTCCCCAGAGCACTTCCTACTACTATAGAGAGCGGCTGCTTCAAAAGAGGGAGGAGAGTGGGCCCAGGTGCCACTCACTGTAGTACAGTAAGTCAGGAAAGCATGGCACAAGTTAGCAATGCACTGGAGCATGGGTCTGTGGCTATAAATCCTTCCTGGAGAAATGACATTTAGCAGACCCTTGGAATGAGCCTGAAGGCGAGGGAGAGGCACTCCAGGAGGGACAGTATGGGTAGTTCCTGGCTAGTTCGCCATATGGACCAAGGTCTGTGCAACCAGACAGGATTAAACCCATACCTGGCACTGTTACTGCTGACCTACCCATTCCACAAGCACTCACAGGGCTTTGGAAAGAAGGCAGCTGAAAAGCACATCAGGAACCAAACAGACATCCTGACAGAGAATGAGGGAGTAGGACTGGGCCTCAAGGGGTGAAAAAGTATGGGAAGTGATGAGGGGGACCCAGGCAAAGAAGTGCTTCTGGCATAGAAGAGCCTGTAGAAAAGTTTCAAGAAGGTCATTGAGGGAGGTGAAGCTGCTGAGTCCCTGTGGCACCAAGTAGCAGTAATTGTGGGCAACAACGTCCCAAGTCATCCTGGGGCCAGACCCAGTGGGAGACAGGAAACAAAAGCACACAGCCAGAGGCTGTTTTAAGAACATTGTAGATGTAGCACATAGAAGGCCCAGGGAGGAGGAGCCAGAGGCTGACGGCTTAGCCAGCTGCAGGCCAGGTAAAGAAGTGAAGTCTGGAAAGTCACAGCTGAGGTGGAAGACTTGGAGCTGCCAGCTCAGATCAGCTGCCTGCAAGACACAGGTGGGTCAGGAGGGGGAGCCACAGGAAAAAGAAGAGGACAGACAGAAGTGGGGAGTGAAACAAGTAACTGAGAAAGAGAGGAAGAAAAAGATGGATGCATGAATGATGGACAGATGTAATTACACATAATTAGGTAGACAGGCAAGGCAAAATAGGAAGAGAAAGTAAGAGTGTGAGAAGAGATGGTGAGAGAGCTCTTAACACCTCTGGCTTCTATTTCTTTCATACATGTATGAAAATGTGTATAATCCAAGAAAAAGGCACTCTGCAGTCAGCCCAACTGTTCCCTCTTAAGAGCCCTCTGCAGCAGGGACAGGGTCAGTACCTGAAGCTAAGAACATGGAACCGAAAGTTGTTCAGTTGGAAGCCAACTGTGGGGACAAAGGGGGAAATAAGGGAACAGCACACAGCCCAGCTCCAGTCACATGTGATGTCACAGAGTTGGGAACTGGACATGTCAGACATGCTCTCTACAAAAGCTGCTGTTCTCCACCAGGAAGGCCAGTCCAGCAAAAGAAGCACCTGTGGGCCCCCCAGAAACTGTAGTTGGAAAGCAAGGCTGGGACATGCTAACGTTTTGCTTAACCTCAAGATTCCTTGCTCCTGATTTCACCTCTGGCAGGGACTGACCTCGGACATGCTTAGGCGGGAGCCCCTGAGAGAGAACGCAGGTAGAGAGAATGCAATAACATGGGTGGACTGAGAGAATTACTAATGCTTAGTGAAATAAGTCACACCATTATGACTTCCCTCATATACAGAAAATAAAGAAATGAAGTAACAAACAAAACCCTAAACCCAAAGTCTTAGTTAAGAGAACAGAATGGTGGATAAATTGGGTAATAACGGTGGGTCAACTGTCAGGTGGTGGGTGGAAGGACTTTTAGTGATGAACACAGTACATGGGAAAGCCCATTTATAAGCCTATACCTCTGAAATCTACATAATGTTATAAACCAATATCACTCTAATTTAAAGGAAAGAGAGTGCAAGGCCACCACCAGTATTTCCATTCATCCATGCTCAGGCAAACAATCCAGCATGGGGACAAGATTTATTTTTATTTTTATTATCATTTTTTAAAGATTTATTTATTTATTTGTGCATACAGAACTGGGGTACAGGCCAGAGGCTCAGGGGCGGCGAGAGGCTTCACCAGAGACAGAGTGGGGAACAGAACAGGCAGATTGACGAAGTACACTGCTGAGGGGAGCAGCGGGCGGGTCAGGAGAGGTCTGCCACGCCATGTGGTCACCTCCGGGGCAGGGGGGAATCGAACTCATGTGGAAGCGGCTTTAGATTCTCAGTGCTGTGCTTTAACCCACTGCGCCACCAGGGAGGGCCTAAGATTTATTTTTTTTTAAAGATTTATTTTATTTATGTATCCAAGAACTGGGGTACATGCCAGAGGTATGGGTATGTGTGTGAGAGGATTCAAAAGAGAGAGAGTAGGGAGCAGAATAGGCAAACTGATTGAAATACAGTGCTGAGGGGAGCGGAAGGCAAGACAGGAGAGGGCTGCTGCACCACGTGGGTCAGCTCCCTGGCCAAGGAAAGAACTCATGCTACAGTGGCTGTGGATAGCTTCACTGTGCTGAGATTTAACCCTTTGTGCCACACCACAGAGGCCTCTGGGGACAATGTTTAAAGGCTGGGTAAATCTACCATCCACAGCTGACCATAGCCTGGCCTTGCCTGTGTCTGAGGTAAAGGTGACCCCATCTGTGTTACTGCTCCCTCAAAAGAGGTGAACTAGCTAATGTAGAAAGGGGTAAAACCTTTCTACTGTGTGAAGCATCTCCCCACTGCACAAGGCACTCTGCACTCACAATCAAGGACAACCCTGCATGCCTGCGTGTCCATTTCCCCAGAGTCTCAGCATGTGTGGGCTCATCAATGTCTCCTCACAGCAGTATCTTTTCATCCCTTCTCCTCTGGTACTTTTATGAACATCTATCCCATGACTCTTGGGTTGCTCCCCAGTGACAACAGATATAAGTGTGATAGTGGGCAGTTGTCTGCCAGCTCCCTCCAATTCTGACATGAGAGCTGGAGAAAGAACATAATTTTCCCCAGGCCCTTAGTGACCACGAACAAGTGGGTGTTTTGTTCAAAGGCTCAAGACGCACCCTTTTGGAAAGACCTTTTCCCCCAGCATCAGGTGTATTGGGAGTGCTGCCCTGGAGGGCAGAAGACAGGACACAAGGTGAGTGAGCAGCACATCAAATCCTGGAAATGCTGGTTCCTTAGCAGTCACCAGATAAAGTCCCATACCGCATCTCCTCATGGCACTGCATTCCCAGTGCCAGGAATGGACTGACAAAAAGGAGTTATAGAAATGGAAATAAAAATAATAAGAAGAGAGGGCCCTCGTTGGTGGTGCAAGAGATTAGGGTGTAGCACTGCAAGCTGGCCACAGCTGCTTCAGAGCAAGCTTGATCCCCGGCCTTAGAGGTGATCCACATGGCGCGGCAGACCTCTCCTATCTTGCCCACTGCTCCCCTCAGCAGTGTACTTCATCAGTCAGCCTGTTCTGCTCCCCACTCTGCCTCTGATGAAGCCTCTCACTGCCCCTGCACCTATGACTTGTACCCCAGTTCTGTATGCATAAACAAATAATCTTTATAAAAAAAAAAAATAAGAGGAGAAAACGCAGATCACTATCACAAAAATGCTTGACTCCGAGTTCTGCAAATGCAGGTAGGCATCACGTTCTGCCACGTAATGGGGCTGGAGTTCAGCAGGAGATAATGAAGGATCTGCTCCAGTTGTGACAGATGGCACAGAACGAACCCTTTTGGGTTTAAGAGAAAGGGAAGACTGAAACACATTGGGAAGGTGAACCACTGTCATACTTAACTTGGAAGCAGAATTAACAAGTGTCTAACCTTATAACTGCTTTCAGGGAAAGGCAGTTTTCTAGGGAGAACAAGAAAACACTAAAAAGCAGCCCAGACAGAGAAGCAAATGTGGTAGTAATTACCTGGAAAATAATAAACAATCCATTCCAGAGAAGTAGTATTTATTCTTCTGTGGCTGTCAAGCCTGGAAAATCTGAAGATGTACTTTCCAAGTCAAGGGATAAATAGGAGTGTGATCAAAAGCAAGGAGGAAGTAGATAAACGTTTAAATGCAGAGAAACCCATTCTCTTAATTCCAGAGGATACGCAAATGGCTGGCATAGAACTGGCTGCTTGAAAGACAGTGTGAAAGCAAAACAACAGAAGATCGAACATTCACACAGGAATATGTCTGCATCAAAATGAAAGGTACTAAGATGAAAATGAAACAACACAAATTGACAAAATCTCCAGAAACAGCTTAACAAATTCTCTAGTCAAGAAATTTCTAAGTAAAACAACATTCCTTATAATTCCAGGCTATTCACTCAAGGAGTCTCAGAGCAGTGATGGATTCTGATGACATATATCCACATCACCGCCAAAACCATTAGGAAAGGCTTGCAGGTAAAAGTGTCCCATCATGCATGTAAGAGTGACAGGACCTCTGAGCAGACCCAGGAAAGACAGGCAGGAACAACAGATCAATGGCTTCAATCTCAATAAAGTTGTTGAGCACAAGGAGAAACCACCATCCCCTCATGGGAATGCTTATGATTCTTTTGACTAATGAAGCAGATGCATAAATACTTCATACATTCCTTCTAGAAAGCTTATAAATACTGTTAAAGAGAAAGCTAGAAACTAGTACAACAGAGAGGTAAATAAATTTACCTATGTACACATTCACACGTACAAGTATATATAAATACATGTATACTTAACTACCAGGGAGGTTAGGTAGTCTCAGAGAGAAATGAAAATAACAGTTAGGTGAGTGCAGCACCAAGGTCAAAGGCCAACTAAACGTTTCATGTAAAGCATTTGTTAAGTTTGAGAAGGAAAGAATAGTAGTGGGAATAATCAAGGAGGAAATCATCAGAAATACTTGAGTCACTCACCTTTATTATTATTTTTTAAAGATTTATTGATGCATGCAAGAACTGGGGTACAGGCCAGAGGTGGGGGATGGTGTAAGAGGATTCACCAGAGACAGAGTGGAGAGCAGAACAGGTGGAGCTACTGAAATACTTTGCTGAGGGGAGCAGTGGATGAGACAGGAGAGTGCTGCTGTGCCATGTGGGTCACCTCCTTGGGCTGAGATCGAACTTGTGCTGTAGTGGCTGTGGAGAGTCTCTTGATGTTGTGCCTTAACCCCCTGCTCTACTAGAGGGCCCAAATCAGTCACTTGAAAAAAAAAAAAGGTGGGTTTTTTTAAAAAGTTTGGGTTAGTTCCTGAAAAGCAATCGGAGTATCTTTGTCCATTTGCTCTTTGAGACTAGAAACTAGCAAACCACATTTATAAGGAGAACAGATCATGATTCTATCTGATTTGGAAGGAATAAAAAAACATAACGTGTTGCAACACAAAAAGAGGTCACAAACCAATTGCAGAAGGCAGCAGAAAGAGAGGCACTTAAATTGAAATTTGGACAAAATCCTAGCAAGCAACAGCTAGAAAGAAATTACCAGTCTAATGTCAGCATGAGCTCTGTGGCTCTGGGGAAGACCACACAAAATTCAGGAGCCTATAAAAAATCAAGGGAAGGAACTTAAAAGGCTTAAGTTATGGATTCAAAAGCCAAGTGGGTAAAAGGGAGCAACCTGAGCTCTGACTGCTTCCTCTAAACAGGACTGAGTGGCAAAATTTGAGAATGATACACACAGCAACTATGAACCACTGCTAGAAATAGGTTAACTGCTTTCTTCAGCTCTCGGGATGAAGGAGACAAGGGAAGGGAGGTGGAAGGATTTGTTTTTAGTGCAGAAAGGAAAAGTTCTTTTGGCACATTTACAAAAGATCTGGCAGGCAAGTCTCCAGCTCACTCATCTAAGAAAAGGTGGGGCTTCTTCATTTGATGTCAGCTTTATGACTGCCCAGGACAAATTCTGATAAAGAATTTGGTCTCAACAGTGTGGGCTCTCCTTGAGACCCACCTGACACCCTAAGTGGTCTACCAAGCTTACTCCCTACTCAGTCAATTCTCTGCTCAAATGTTACTCTCAAAAATACTCATTCACTCCCTCTAAAAAAAATAGCTCCACACCAGCACCACCCCTTTTCTCTGGCACTTATTTTTGTGGTTCTTCTATCACTGTTTAGTCTTTGATTACATATTGATTATTTGCTTCACTCACTAAAATATAACCTTAGGTGGGCATTGCTGATTGCCAGCACCTAGAAGAGGTGTGAGGAAAACAAACTGCTGACAGGAAGAGGAAAACCTGACAAAAACAGTAACTGTATTTTTTGGCATAGAACCTGGCACTCTGAAGTCTAGGTTTGAGATGACTGTATTAACCTTCTTTCGGCTTTATACAAATCACTTCTCAGGCTGGTTCAATCCTGAAACAAGGAAGTTGATTAAAGATTGAAATCCCCTTCTAACTCTGTACAATCTGAAAACAAAGGTCTGAAATCCTCCAATTATTAGCCATGGGAGGGTTCGGATTTACCTCACATTAGTAAAAATTTAAGCTCTCATTATATTCCAGAGGTCCCTTCTTTAAACAGAATAAAGTCATGTAAGTGGAAAGGCACAGTGGGTCTGAAAGGAGTGTGGTGGTCGTGTGAGAAAAAGCTCCATAGGCAAAGAAAGGGCAGAGTGACTATGATCATCCCACAATCTTTGAAGGACCAAGATCATACGTTCAAGATGGAGGGGCGGGGGAGAAGAGGGTGGTCTGCCCGCTAAAGAGGATGAATTAGTGACGGTGGGAGGAAAAGCAGTCACCAGATGACAGGGAGATAGCAGGAGCTTCAAGAACGCCTGATATGGAGCAACTGGTCTTAGAATTCCAACGCCGCCACCCCCACCCCCTTACAGAGCCTCAGATGACTGTGCCTACTCAAGAGTACCTCAAATGTCCAACTACAGGCTCGGGATCTCTGCTTTGCACACTGCAAGACCCTCCAAACACACAGATCAGACTTTCGGATCCAGGGAGGGGAAAGTCATTCCAGGTTTCCTGAGACCAAACTTCAGATCCCCCAGGAATATTTGGACTGTCAACCTTCCCTTCCTCAATCCTGAGTCACTTCAGGAGGAGTCTGTGCGCCGAGAAGTTGGACCCACCGGCCCGTGTACCGGTGTGCCGAATCTCCGTGCCAACGCAGGAGATACTCAAAAAAACTTTTAAGCATTGGGAACACTGGTGCTCCTGAGAAGAAAACTCAGCAAACCTTGAGTGAAGTCCTTCTGCCCTGCAGCCACCGGAGACGTTAAGTGCCGTGTGGGGCGAGGCCCTGGGGTCCCCAAAGGCGGGCGGTGCCCCGGTCGGGCCCTCGGCCCGCACCACCCAGTGCCTCCCCGCTCACTGCCCGGCCCGCGCTCACCGCCTTTTCCAGGTGGCTGCGCGCCTGCTCGCTATTCTTGGTGTGGTGGTAGAGCACCGAACCAAGCTGCAGGTGCGTACGGGCCTCGATGCGCTGCGGCGGCTTGAAGGGGAACACGGCCTGCAGGCAGTGCACGCACAGGCGAATCTTGGGCGGGCTGGAAGTGCGAAAGTGCTCGGCAAAGCCCAGGAGCGCCAAATACCACGACTCTGCCGCTTCGGCCTGCGCCGCCTGTGCAGCTGCCTGAGCCGCCGCCACCGCCTGTGCCGCCATCTTGGCCTCCACAACAACAAGCCGCCCGCAGGGAGGCGGAAGCGGTGCGTGGGGCGGGGCTGGCTAGCCTCGCGGCTGTCGCGAGATCTGCCGTGTAAAGCATCCTTGAACTTGTAGTTTGTATTTAGCGATACCGTGGTTCCAAGTAGGTATAAGAAACGGCGACGCCTTCTGGTCCTCCAGACTGAGACCGGATACAGACGAAAGGTCAAGATGTGTACTCCCGGTGGGGGAGAAGACCCTCTGCGTCCTCGCAGCTGCCGGAGGTGGCTGGCAGACGCAGACTACATCTCCCGGCAGGCCATGCGCACTATAACAGGCCTCCTCAGGCGGCGCCAAAGCATTGTGGGTGTGGAGGAGTCTCAAGATGGACACCCGGGATGTTGCAGGTACCAGCCCCCGCCTCCCCTCGGCGGCCGCCGGGGCCTGGTCTGCGCGCCACAGCCTCGTTTGTCTGTCGCCCACCTACCCCGCCAATCCCGCCACAACCTACAGGCCGCCCGGAGTGACCTCCGCCGAGCCCCATCCTCCACGCCTCCCAGACTCAGTTGTCTGTTTCCACTCCTGGCGCGTTTAGGGCTCCTAGCTTTCCGAGCAGGCCGCCGCTAGGTTTGCCTCTGCTTCGTTTTCCAAGTAGTCGTCTTCGGGGAATCTCCGAATCCTGTGCCCCAAAGACCGACAACCTTGGGCTGTCCCGAGCACCCTCCCTCTCCACCTTGGTAGCAGCCGCTGTCTGGCCTGTGTCCTGTGTCCCGTTTTCTGGAAAGGCTGCTTTTCCGAACTGATGTAGTATTTCCTTTACACTGTTTAGTCGTTGTCAGGAGCCCCAATGTTATCGCAAGCCTTGCCCTTCTCTCTTTCACAGACGGCGTATCCCCAGACTGGGAGGTGTTCACCCATGCAGCAGATACTTGCTGTGGTGTGTCAGGCTTTGTTCTGGGCACTGGGGGTGCAATGATGACCCCAAAGAGGCCCCTGCTTTCTTGAAGGTTGTTTTCTACTCTGTGTGCAACAGAGAGCAAGTTGCATTGATGTGAGGGGGTCATTTAAGATGAGAGCATGCCAACTATGGGATGACCTGGAGAAAAGATCCTCCCAAGAAGAGGTGGGACAGCAAGTACCAAGGCCTCAGGGTGGGATGGGCAGGTTGTGTTGTCAAATAATTAGGATGAAGTGCAACCGGGGAGGGGGTTTCTTCTAGCATTACCTTGAAATTTGACTTTTAGAATTTGGATTTTATTCTGAGTCTCTGGAGAATCTCTGAGGTGTCTTCATCTCCTCAGTTACCACCGTTGTATGTGACGCCATTGTCTTTTGCTTGGACCAACAAACTTCCTTGTTGGTTTCTTTGCTGCCTATGCACTCTTCAGTGGACAACTGCAGTGATTTTTTTTTTTTTAAGATTATTTATGCACACAAGAACTGGGGTACAGGCCAGAAGTGCAGGGGGTGAGAGGAATCACCAGAGACAGAGTGAAGAGCAGAGCAGGCTGATGTATTGAAATACACTGCTAAGGGGAGCAGTGGGTGAGACAGGAGAAGTCTACCACGCCATATGGGTCCCCTCCCTGGCCAGGGATCGAACCCAATATTGCGGTGGCTGCAGATAGCGTCATAGTGCTGTGCTTTATGGAGGTAATCTTAAAAATAAAAGTACCAGTTGGGTTTTGTCAGCTTAATACTCCCCTGTTACTTCCAAAGTCATTAAAGTAAAGCACAGATTTTCTGTTGCTCTCATCTTCATCCCTGGAGTGGTCCACTGTGGCTGTACTGGACCCTTGTTGGTCCTTGGATGCTTCAGACTTATTCCTTCCTGGGACTTTTGCCCAGGTTGCTCTTTAAACTTTAACTCTTCAGTTCTGGCTCTGGTTAACTCTTCTAGAGGTTATTTTCTACCTGTATATAGTTTTCATCAAGATTTCTTGGTACAGTTTTGCGGTTTTTTTTTGTTGTAAGTTTATTGTCTCTCCAACATAGATGGGTGCCAAATGGGTAGAGAGGCTCCTTCTTCAGCACTTCATACAGGACCTGGTACAGCTCAGTCAATGTTGAATGAATAAAGTATGAATGTCAGTTGCTGTCTGGCCCATAGCAGCAAGTGGGCATGTTTGTGCAGCACAGGTGACTTCTAATGTGCTTCTTCTACCCAGGAAAGGCTAACCGATGGTTTGGGGTTGCTCCTCCCAAGTCTGGAAAAATGAACATGAATATTCTTCACCAAGAAGAGCTTATTGCTCAGAAGAAACGGGAAATTGAAGCCAAAATGGAGCAGAAAGCCAAACAGAATCAAATGGTCAGCCCTCATTGCCCATATCTTGGCGAGTAAGTGCCTCCTGGTGTGTTAGAGGGTTACTTGCAGAGGATTTTGCTTGTGAGAGCAGTGTGCCTGCTACACCTGACCTGCAACCTGATGATGCAAAGAGTGACATTCTGTACGAGGCTCATTGTGGCATGAGAGGAACAAGGGTTATGTGTGCCCAGAGGATGGCCTGACAGCTTCCTCATTAAGCAGTTACTTAATGCCAATCAGGTATGGCCCTGGAACTGGAAGCACAGGGCACAGCAAAAACCCAGACTCCTTTTTTTTCCCCCTATGGGATTTAGATATTACCAAAGTGGGTGCCATTCCCATTCCCAGAGCTGCTAGTGCTTAACATGAGGCAATGCGTTCCTAGATGCAGTGAACACTGTAGGTGCACTTCTGAGGCTTATAGCAGAGGTTCTGTGTTTGGAAGACCTAAGGAGAAGCAGCCTATTGAGGAAGCAGGGAAAGGCCTGCCAAGCAGAGGGCCCCTGAATCAGGCAGCCTGAACTGATTACAGGACCAAAGGGTCTATTCCAGAGTTAGGCAGTAGGGAGCTCAAGTTTCCTTCTCCCTGTCATCAGAAATTCCAAGTGATTATAGCAACATGAACTAATAATTTCAGACTATAAACTGAATTGTGGAACATTAGTATTCCACAAAGCTCTGTCTCAGCTCCCCTGTTTTCCAAATATCTGTGTATTCTGGACAGAAGAGATTAGGCCTCCAAGGACTGTGGAACATGGCTTGGAGGTGAGTGATCTACTAGTTGGGGACTCTTGCCCCTGATGTTGTGGAAGCACTTGCACCAGCGTGGTAGAGTCACTTCCCAGGTGGTCTTGTGAGGTTGTTGGATTCTAAAATCAGGGCTGAACTGCTAACGGGAAACGTCAGGTGGAGGAGTGTATGGCACACGTAACTTTGGGAATAACTCTTGTCTCCACTCCAAATATTAGAATTTCTTGCTGAGGTAATAGGAAGCATTTATATCACCTCAAGATAATAATTTTGGTATATTTTCTCCCCATGTTTTTGTTTCAAGTTTTTTTTTTTTTTTTTTTAAAAGATTTATTTATTTATTCATACAGAACTGGGGTACAGGCCAGAGGCTCAGGGGCGGTGAGAGGCCTCACCAGAGACAGAGTGGGGAGCAGAACAGGCAGATCGACGAAGTACACTGCTGAGGGGAGCAGCGGGCGGTCAGGAGAGGTCTGGCTCGCCATGTGGTCTCCTCCGGGGCAGGCGGCAGGCGGGAATCGAACTCATACGGAAGTGGCTTCAGATTCTCAGTGCTGTGCTTTAACCCGCTGCGCCACCAGGGAGGGCCTTGTTTCAAGTTTTAATCAATTTTGTTAGCTGCTCCTCCCCTGTTTAGAGGCATCATAGTTTTTTTCGTTTTCATTGAGATGTAATTTACATACCATAAGACTCACCTTTTAAACTATACCAGTAGTGGTTTTTACTACATAGCATCATAATAACATACTTACTATATAGCTTCATATTAGCTACTTCTAATTCCAGAACTTGCCATCACCTTCAAAAGAGACCTATCCCCCTCCCTCAGCCCACCATTAATTTCTTTCTGTCTCTGGATTGCCTACTCTAAATATTTCATATAAGAAGTAGTCAATGAAGGTTCTACATTGTATCATGTGTCAAGCTTCATTCCTTTTTAAGGGCAGATGTACTTGATTATATGGATGTACCACATTTAATCTGTTTAACAAGAGCCAGCAGCTGCATTATATGTTCTACTGTTTGTTAGGAATGGTTGTCAAGTGGAATTCGTTTGCTGACTACCGCCAAAGGTGCTTTCTTGTCTATCATTATCCCTACCTTCAAGCCTTTGTTCTCCAAGGGAGCTGCATGGTGTGAGGATGGAGCCAGGATCTTTAGAAAGCCCTACTGGTTTCATTTCAAGCAGGTTACCCATACAACCTTCTCTTTCACATGAAAAACTAAAAATTTAAACATTGTCAATATATGTAGTGGGAAGTAGAGAACAAGATGAGGAAAATCCTGAATCAGCTATAACTCTGAAATGCAGAGGCAATGCTGGTTTTATGTTGTGTTTTCCTAACAATTTTTAGTTCAAATTTATTTTGTCATAAGTAGGATATTGTTTATATTCTGCATTTCGTATTTCATTTAGCAATGTACTTGATTGTTTTATTTTTAAAATGTTAACTGTTCAGTATGGCTCATTCTGGCCTGCAAGTATCCTATAATTCATTTAACCACTGCCCTTTGCCCATTGTTAAGTCATTTCCATTTTGGGTTCACTAGAACAGATTTCTAGAAAGATGAAGCTTTTAAAGGCAAAAGCTTAGATACAGGCTTCCTAAGCTCTTAAATTACTGGGTGTGTCTGTGGTGGGATGTCATGTAGCCTTGTAAAGTGAATGATGAGAGATTGCTGAGATTGGACAGGATATTATTGCTGTAAGAGGAAATGGAAGAAGTAGGTTATTCTCTATGGTCACAGCCTTAGTTCTGTTTCTAATTTAGGGGGCAAATTAAAGGAATAGAACAAAATGTTTGAAGAGTAGCTATTGTGATATAAGGTATGTTTTTTGGGTTTCCTCCTTTCTATATTTGTATTTTGACAGTCTCATTTGCTCCAATATGGTAAAAATGAATTAGATATTTAGTTTGCTCCATTTGTTTTTTTGCTGATTCGTTAAAAGTAGATGTTTTAAAAAATTATTATTATTATTTTTTAAGATTTATTTATTTTTGTATACAGAACTGGGGTACAGGCAGGAGGCTCAGGGGCGGTGAGAGGCTTCACCAGAGACAGAGTGGGGAACAGAACAGGCAGATCAATGAAGTACACTGCTGAGGAGAGCAGTGGGCGGGTCAGGAGAGGTCTGCCACACCATGTGGTCACCTCCCAGGCAGGCGGGAATCGAACTCATGCGAAAGCGGCTTTAGATTCTTAGTGCTGTGCTTTAACCCGCTGCGCCACCAGGGAGGGCCTAAAAACTTATTTTTAAGTAAACCATATTCTGCAGAAAGAAATAAGAAAGTAAAAATATAAAAAACTCCCACCAAGATGTTACTTTGGGTGTTTCCCTATGTTTGTGTGATTCACAGAGGCACTGTCGAGCCCAGGCCAGTCACACACAGATAGAGACACACACCCTTCCTTGGGGAACTTGAATACCTGGGAAGACATGGGAGCCAGAAACAGGTCATGTGATTAGTTAACAGGTATGACAGGTGCCATGCATGGTACACAGGTATCTAGTTAACAATAGGCGTGATGGGTATTGTTAGGGAGCAATTGGCCTAAGTTTTCTTACTGGGTACACTGGTTGCTCCTGGCAGATTGCTTTGCCTTTGGAGATAATTCAAGTTGCTTTGACTAGTGAGATTGTTCTTGCTTGCCCATCATGTGCTCTGCAGGGCTGATAATCTCTGGGGCCAGTTTTGCATCCTAGTAAACAGGAATGGGCTCAGGACTGGCACTTGGCCTTTTTCTCAGTGGCTGCCTCTTTCGGCTCACCTCTGTCCTCTGCCCTGGGTCTAGAATGGTGAATTCCCACAACTCCTCTGTTTCCAACAAGTTCGCCAACGACGGCAGCTTCCTGCAGCAGTTTCTGAAGCTGCAGAAGGCACAAAACAACACAGGTGAGCTGTTGCCCATGTCTCCTACTACCTGGACCTACCCTGCTGATTCTTCTCCCTGGGCCCCCAGGGGTACAGTCATGGGGAACCAAAGCTGTTGCATGCAGAGGCCTGGGTCAGTGACAACCACAAAGCCTTCCTCCAAGCCTCATTGTTCTTATCTATAAAATGGGTGGCTTCCTCATTAATTCTGCCAGACACTGAGCTGCAATCCAAGGACCCATACCCCAGGGCTTAGAGCATGTGGATTAGCTGAGAAGACAGGCATGCACCCTAGAGACCTTGAGCATCATGCCCTTCCTTCCCAAGATGCTGCCCCCAGTGCACCTAGTGCTCCCCCTCGTGTGCTCCCCCGGACTGGGAAGAGGCCCCCCCTCATCAGCAGCCCACCAGGGCAGGTGAAGAACTACATGCATGCCAAGCAACTGCCTGTGGCCAGCCGCCCAAGTGTCTTCCAGTCTCCTGATGAAGATGAAGAAGAGGATTATGAGCAATGGTTGGAGATAAAAGGTAAGAAAGGTAAGGGCTGCTGCCTCCCTTCACTGCTCCAGTGTTGCGGGGCTGTCGGCACTTGGCAGGGAAAGCTCAGCCAGGATTGTAAGGGCTTTAGTGTAGTGGGGAGGGGTACCAGTCCTCCCAGCTGAGTGGAGGGCTGAGGTTGTTCCCTGGGGTGTGGGGGGGGGGGTTGAAGTAGAGGATGGGGAAAGTAAGTAGTATGTGGGAACAGCAGACTGCCAGTTTCATTCTGGGGCCCGCTCCAGAATGGTGCTGATCAGTGCATGGGAGTTGTGGCCCCCTTAGGGGAGCCTTCACCATGTCCTTGTTTGTCTCACACAAGGGGAGGAGTTCCAGGGAGTGTCTCTGGCCTGGACCCACACTTTCCCAGCCCTGAGACCAGAGTGCTGTTCCTTTCTGTGGATTACTTATCTCTCAGCACAAAGGGTGGGAAGTATGCCCTCCTGCCCCAGGGAAAGGCAGTTGCTGGTCTCAGCCACCCAAGCTGCCTGGTGTAGAGGGCATGGTTAGTGGTAGCTTTGCTGATATTTGAACTATGTGGAGGCCTAGTTCATCTCAGCCCAGGTGACTGATATATAGTCATAGCACCGTGATGGGTGAGAACTGAGGGAAGCAATTTTGTAGTCATGCTGTGACAGCATATAGAACCCTTGGTTAGACTTTGGGTGCTGGTTCAGGCTGTGGTCAGAGGAATTCAGTGTCCAGCCTCAGTCAGAGGGAAGCCAGGGACAGTAGTGTTTTCTCAAAGAGGGCCCTGCTGGAAACCATGACTTTACTTGGGGCAGTGGGTTATTTTAGGGCCTGTTAACAGCTTGCTATTGGAATGACCTCAGAAAAGCACGATCCCTGTAAACAGTGACCAGGTTAAGGTCATTGCCAGGCATATAGGAAGAGTGTGAGACTGGGGAAAAGGCAGACACAGAATGTCCCTGGTACCTCTCCTGGGTCCTCCATAAGCCACAGCCACCTCCACCCCCACTCAGCTTCCTGGCAGTCCAGGTAACAAGGGGAACAAAATTGGCACTTATTGGTGTCTGGGGCTATTGTTGAGCAACTCAAACATTTTCAGTCACTGCCTGACTGCAAGGACTTTCTCTTGGGAGTTCTCCTAAGAGGGTCATGAGCTCTATAGTGGCTGAATGATGATCTGGAGATAGAGGAGTGAAAATAAAAAACTGAGGTCTATGTGTCTCAAAGGGGAGGCTAACACAAATACAAAAATGTATTTTTGTACCTTTTTACGTTGAAAAGGCCTTGAGGTAATAATTAAGCTCGTCGCAGTAAGCCTTCCTAGCGCCCCGAAGGTGGTCTGGAAACACTTTGTCACTCATGGAAACCAAGACTTCTTGGACAGTTTGCTGGCTCTAGGTCTGGGCAGGAAATCTGTGAGATGATCCTGGAGCGCCCTGTCCCAGCAGCTAGCGAGGAGGCCGGCGAGACTCCTGAGGTCCTGCCCAAAGACCTTGGGAGCCAGCTGGAAGAGGCTCCACCAGCCACAGAGGGGATGATTGAGCTTCTGTGATGACGTTAATGCAATGGACAGAAACCCACCTGATGTGTTTAAATCAATTTGTAATGATGTTTTTTAAAGAATTTGTCATCTTTGAAGGATGAAAGGGAATCAGTTTATAACACTGAACACTGATAAAAAAAGAAAAGAATTAAGCATTCAAAAAAAGGGGACCGTCACCCTGTCAGCCTGGGGACCGACTTGGCCTTCGAGAGCTCACACTTCTCTCCTGCCAGTGTGCCTGCCAGTGTGCCTCCAAAGACTGACTCCCCTCATCGGGGTGCTTTGTACTTGGACCTGGGACACCCGACAACCTCCCGCATCTCACCCTCTTCTCCCCCCACCCCTCTGTCATTGTGGTCCATAGAGAGAGTGTGCCTGTTGACTGTGGGGTGTGTGAGTTGAACCCCAGTACTGACAGCCTCCTTAAAGTTTCACCCCCAGAGGGAGCCGAGACTCGGAAAGTGATAGAGAAATTGGCCCGCTTTGTGGCAGAAGGAGGCCCAGAATTAGAAAAGCTAGCTATGGAGAACTACAAGGATAATCCAGCACTTTCGTAAGTACTTCTGGGAGGGGAAAGTCACTGCTACTGAATGTTTGTACCACACGACAGTATGCACAGATATTTGTATAAAACCCTGAAGTGACTTAGGCTGTGGGACTGGGTGCTTGCTTGTATAAGCCAGATGTTGTTCCAAGGGCTCCTTAATTCATACCAGAGGTACCAGGGACTCCCCTGGGATATGGAGATCTATTCCTGGGCCCTGTCCAGGCATGTGCTCACCAGCTTGCCTTTGTACAACATGTCATCTGAGTCTGCACTGCTCTGCCCATTTTCTCTGCTCATTTTTGTCTTTGTTTACAAAACTCTCCAGGTTTTTGCATGATAAGAATAGCAGGGAATTCCTCTACTACAGAAAGAAGGTAGCCGAGATAAAAAAGGAGGCACAGAAGTTACAGGCAGCCTCTCAGAAAGGTAGGTTGATGGAGGGGACTCTGGGGACACGTGAACAACCCCACCCCTCATGGAATCAGGGTTCCTTCCTTGTGGCCACCTTGGCATGGAATGATGTCAGCAGCCTGGGTGTGTGTCCTCCCAAGCAGTGGGAGTCATGCTGGTACCGATATTACCAGCTTTGCCAGTGCTTTGAGGACTGGGAAGTCTTGAGAGTCAAAGCCAAGACTGTAAACAATGGAGAGAAGGAACCTTTTGGTTCATGTTCATTTTCATTAGTGTTAATGAATGCCTGTTGTGTGTGGGCAATGAAGGTACCCACATACTGAGGTGGTCTCTGACATTGTGGAGGGGAGGGTAGGCAGAGACAAAGGATCAGCTGAGATCCTGGTGGATGAGTGTTGGGGGGAAGTGCTGACTGGGCTCTTGACTATAACCAAGTGAAAAATTCCCGCCAGTCAGCAAGGGATTGGTGTAGAGATTGAAGTTGGGCCACAGGGCAGTTCATTGTATTGCCTGTAATTCTTTGCCCCATCTTCTCTCAGAAGAAGGGGGGTTAAGTCAGTCCCTAGTATGAAGATTGGGTGGGTGGCTCCCATCTCTCTAGCTGGCCCCAGATGTGGCCTATTCTTGTGTCCCAATGTGTACCCAAGGCCCCTGCAACTTACAGGGTGGGAAGGGATGGGGGGTGGTGGGTGGGGAGGGGGAGAGGTGGGGATATGTTGTGATGTTGAATCTAGTGTTTTCTCTCAGTGCAGTAATCTGATTCCCATTTGCCTGTTTTTCTTTGCATTGTTCCTAAAATAAACCCCTCTTGTTGCCTGTGGGGTTTTTAGCAGAAATTAGGCTGTTGGGTGTGGTGAGTTGAGCTCAGTACTGACAGCCTGCTTAAAGTTTCACCCCCAGAGGATGAAGAGGTCAAGAACCTTGCAGAAAAATTGGCCAGGTTCATAGCAGATGGGGGTCCAGAGGTGGAAACCATTGCCCTCCAGAACAATCGTGAGAACCAGGCATTCAGGTAAGGGGGGAGCCTCCAAGAGATGACCCTTACTATGGTCATGGCCCCACAGATAAGGAAATGTGATGGAGTCTCATGGAGAGAAGTTGGTGGGACCAGGACATGTGTCCGTGAGTTTCGATCCTAGAGCTCAGTCTGAGCACTATACAGTTATTCCCAAGTGCATGTCAGAGCCCCAAATTATCTCTGAGGCCAGTGTGCAGGTGCTTCTGGGGACCTTGTTTTCCACACACCTTGTAGAGAAATTCTCCAGCTTTCTCTACAAGCTCCCTTTTGTAGCATACCCAGACTTTGAGCTAGCCAGGCCCCTGGCAGAAATCTACAGAACTGCTGTTAGCTGTGTGTGTGTTCTTAGGTTCTTGCCTTTACGATGAAGACTGTGGTTGGGAATTCCTGGTCTGTGAGTAGGTTTCACATGGGTTGGTGAGTGGTAGGTACCAGTGGAATGGGTCATGTAACTGTTTTTTGATTCGTTGGTGGTGAATTCAATACCTGCACTTAGCTAGAAGAGGCAGGTCAGGGCCCAAAGAGGCTTTTTTTTTTTTTTAAAGACTTATTTATGCATACAAAAACTGGAAATAGACCAGAGGTGTGGGGAGTAAGAGGATCCACTAGAGACAGTGGGAGCAGAACAGGCAGATTGGCAAAGTACACTGCAGAGGGAGCAGCTGAGGAGATAGGAGAGGTCTGCCACAGCAGATGGGTCAGCTCCCTGGCCAGGGATTGAACTTGTGTTGCAGTGGCTGTGGACAGCATCACAGTGCTGCACTTTAACTTGTTATGCCACCAAGGAGGGCCCCCTAGAGGCTTCTAAGGAGTGAAGCAACAGAGGAGTGGAGGGTAAGCATGAGAGCATGGTGTGGATGGGTTCTGAAGTCCAACAGGGCCAGGTCCAGAGGGGTCTGCACAGGGTTGGCTGTACTGCAGTCCTAAGGGTAGTAGGGGTGGTCAGACCATATGATGTGAGTGGAGGGGAAAAGAATCATCAGGAATCATCAGGGGTCCGTGGAATCATGGGCATGTAGGAAGGAGAGAAGGCCAAGATGTAGACAATTCTGATAAGCAGGGAAATATCCTTGTAGCTGGAAGCCCTTAGGACTAAGAGGTTTTTGGGTCTGGAATTCAGGGGACTGGGGTCTTCTCACTACACAGTGATGTCACCTCCACTCTACATCACCCAAACCAGCATTTACTTTAGTGTACTATAAGTCATTGCACCTTTTATTCCCACTTACTTAAGTAAGTTTATTAAAATAAACAGGAAGCTTAGGTTAATGTCTCATCATCAGTAGAACAGACTGCAAAAATCTACCACAGGTAGAGCAAGCAAGGTTAGGGAATTCTGTCCAAGATCTAGGCTCTCCCAGGTCAGGAGTCCAGAGCTCAGTTGCTCTGGTCAAGAAGGGTCAGATTGGAGAAATACTATCAGCCTTCCTATTGTGTTGACCTGGCTGGAGGTGGGGGGCAGGCAGGAGAGATGTTGTGAGGGCTGAAGTGGGATAGCTGATGGGGGATAGTGTGATCTGGGAAACTTGCCCCTGGTTATGACGATGGCCAGAGCCAACAGCATGCAGCTGGACTTTGAGGAACAATTAGGTGTCCTGCTTGGGGAGGGTGTTTAGGATCCTACCAAATGTTCAGGCGTTGTGGAGGCAGGTGTGCAGCTGCTCCTGTCACCCCCAGATATAGCTGCCACTTTGTTTTCTGGACTCTGAGCCCTTCTTTGCCCTCTTGATTGTTCTCATGAGCCAGCACACCGGTGGTTCTGTGTTTCAGGGAACTACCCCTAATAGCTATAAAGAAGCCAGAAAAACCTATCCCTTTGACAGTAATCCCAGTTCTTAGATGCTGTTCCCAGAAATAATAGATCAGTGTAACGTCCTCTATGTAGTCATGAGACATTAGTAAAATTGAACATCTAGCCTCAGTGGGCTAAACTGTTAACTGCATCTTCCCAGTGGCATCTCAGCTGGCAGAAGGCACGCAGGCGAAGGTGGTGGCAGCCCGCACAGCACCCGCTGTGAGCCACATGCAGCTCTGACACATCACCCGTGAGAGCCACTTGTTCTTTGCAACAGCCAGTGTGCTGGGCTCTTCCAGGTGAGGAAACTGAGGCAAGGTGGCCAGCCAGTAAATGTGCCATCGCCACTGTACTCGCTGTATTCTGATGGGAAAGCTTTATGTTGTTAGGTGAAGTAAAGTTTTGTTTGTTTTTTTTTAAAGATTTATTTATTTATACATACAGAACTGGGGTATAGGCCAGAGGTGCAGGGTGGTGAAAGGATTCACCAGAGACAGCGGGGAGCAGGACAGGCCGACCGACAAAGTACACTGCTGAGGGGAGCAGCGGGCAGGTCAGGAGAGGTCTGCTGCGCCATGTGGATCACCTCCAGGATAGGCGGGAATCAAATCCACGCTGCAGTGGCTTTAGCTTCTTAGTGCTGTGCTTTAACCCACTGTGCCACCAGGGAGGGCCACAGTGAAGTTTTTTTTTAAAGACATTTATTTATGCATACAAGAACTGGAATACAGACCAGAGGTGTGGGGAGTGAGAGGATTCACCAGAGACAGAGCAGGGAGCAGAACAGGCCGACTGACTGAAATACACTGCTGGGGAAAGCAGCGGGTGGAGAGGTCTGCCACGGCATGTGGGTCACCTCCCTGGCTGGGGATCGAACTTGTGCTGCAGTGGCTGCAATAGCTTCATAGTGCTGTGCTTTACCCGTGGCACCACCAGGGAGGGCCCCTTGCTAAACCTTTTTTTTTTTTCAAAGTTGTGCAGACATTTATTCAGTAATTTCAACACACTATTCTTTTTTTTTCTTTATAATATAATAGTTTATTTTTACATCATTTTGTACTTTTTTTTTCAGCTTAATTGTAATGCCCATGAGTTTCCCATCACGAGTCACCCGTGTGCCATCTCTTGCTAAAGTTTTTAAAAGATGATATTGTTATTTTTTTCTTTCATCCCAAATTTATTTGAGTTTTTTTTTCCTCAGAAAAAGATATTTTGAACCACAAGTTAGATTTCTACAGGCTTTTGAGATTTTTTTTTTATAATAGTTTATTTTACATCATCTTGTGCATTTTTCCATTTCAGTTGTAATCCCCATGGGCTTCCCATTGCCAAATCACCCATGTGCCATCACCATAGTCCAGAGCATTTCCCTCCCCCCAATGTTCTTGATCCCATTCCCCACTCCACCCCCATAAAATGGCTCTGGTATGTAGCTGTTCATTATTATTATTTTCTCGCCTGGTCTGTTATACTCCTGCTATGAGTGAAACCATCTGGTATTTTTCCTTTTCTTTCTGGCTTATTTCACTAAGCATGACCTTTTCCAGCTCCATCCATGTTGCTGCAAAAGGCATGTATTTATTTATTTATTTTTTGGTTGCTGAGTAATATTCCATTGTGTATATTTATCACATCTTTTTAATCCAGTCATCCATTTTTGGGCATTTGGGTTGTTTCCATGTCTTTCCAATTGTAAATAAGGTGACAATAAACATGGGGGTGCAGATATCTTTTTGAATCAGTGTTTTTATGTCTTTTGGGTAGATACCCAGGTAGGAGTGGGATTGCTGGGTCGTAGGGAAGCTCCATGTTAAGCAGTTTGAGGAGCCCCCAAACAGTTTTCCATAGTGGCTGTACTAGTTTGCATTCCCACCAGCAGTGCAGGAGAGTTCTTTTTCTCCACTTCCTCGCCAACATTTGTTGTTGCTAGTTGTTTGAAGATGTGCCATTCTCACTGGGGTGAGGTGGTATCTCATTGTGGTTTTAACTTGCATCTTCCTTATTACAAGTGATACTGAACATTTTTCATATGCTTGTTGGCCATCTGAGTTTCTTTTTTGTAGAAGTATCTTTTAGCTCTTCTGCCCATTTTTTGATGTTTATTTTTGTTGAGTTTCATCAGTTCTAAAAGATGTTATTTTTTAAGAATGATTTTAGGTTGATAGCAAAATTAAGTAGAAGATACAGAGATTTCCCATATATTCCCTGCCCCCATACAAGGCATGGCCTTCCCATTATCAACCTCCTCACCATAGTGGTATTTGTTAGGGTCAGTGACCTTGCACTGACATGTCATCCCTGTAAGTCCATAGTTTACATTATGGTTTATACTTGGTGTCACTGGGTTTGGATAAATGTATAAGGATATGTACCCACTGTTAAACAGAGTATTTTCTTTTTTATTAAAAATTTATTTATTTATGCATACAGAACTGGAGTACAGGCCAAGGGTTCAGGGGTAGTAAGAAGATTTACCAGAGACAGAGTAGGGCGCAAAGTAAGCAGATTGATGAAGTGCATTGCTGAGGGGAGCAGCGGATGAGATAGGAGGTATCTGCTGTGCCATGTGGGTTACCTTCGGGGCAGGGTATTGAACTTGCACTGGAGTGGCTGCAGCTAGCCTGCAGTACTATGTCCTAACCCATTGCACCACCAGGGAGGGCCCTATACAGAATACTTTCAATACCCTAGAAGTCCTCTGTTCTCAGCCTACCACTCCCACTCCCCAATCATAAAACTTTACTGTTGCCATTGTTTTGCCTTTTCCAGAATGTCATATGGTTGGAATCATACAGTACATTAGTGGCCCTTGTATGTAGGGGAATACAATCCTAAGATCTCCAGTGAATGCATGAAACTTTGGATAGTACCAAATCCTCTCTATACTCTTTTTTTTCCTAGACATGCATTGCTATGATAAAGTTTAATTTATAAAATAAAGGATTAATAACATGATAAAATAGAACATTGTAACAGTGTACCTCAATAAAACCATGATATTAGTCTCTCAAAATGTTTTATTGAACTATTCAGACCAAGGTTGACCTTAGATAGCTGAAACCACTGTACATAGCCTTTTCAGAGTGGTATCTTCCACTTAGTAATATACCCTTCAGGCACCTCTGTATCTGTTCATGGCTTAATAGCTCTTTTCCTTTTGCATGAAAAATACTCTGATGGATAGACCACCATTTATTTATCCATTCACCTGCTTCAGGACATGTTTTCTGCCAACTTTTTGCAATTATGAATAAAACTGCTGTAAACACCTATGCAGGTTTTTTTTTTTTTTTTAAGATTTTATTTATTTATTTATTTATTTTTATTTGTGCATACAGAACTGGGATACAGGCCAGAGATGCGGAGGGTGAGAGAATTCACCAGAGACAGAGCGGAGTGCAGAACAGGCAGATCAACGAAACACACTGCTGAGGGGAGCAGGGGGCGGGTCAGGAGAGGTCTGCCACGCCATGTGGTCACCTCCGGGGCAGGCGGGAATCAAACTCATGAGGAAGCGGCTTTAGATTCTCAGTGCTGTGCTTTAACCCGCTGCGCCACCAGGGAGGGCCCCCTATGCAGGTTTTTATGTGGACATAAGTTTTCAACTCCTTTGGGTAAATATCAAGAAGTACAATTGTTAAATCGTGTGCTAAGAGTATGTTTAATTTTGTAAGAATCCTCCAAACTGTTTTCTAAAGTTGAAGGAAAGCAGTTTGGCTTAGCAGTTTAGCTTAGTTAGCAATTCTGGGCCTCAGGCTGATAAGGAAGCGCCCGCAACCTTGACTAGGGTCTGGCTGTCTCCATCCTCGTACATGGGCACAGACCCAAAAACCCCAGCTTACAGGTTCTTTTGTAAATAATTTTTGATACTTCCCACCCGCCTAGCTGGGGCCTGGCCAATGGGCGCAGGCCCTCTTTGTTACAGTATATAAGCTTGATGCTGAAAATAAGACAGGGACTTTTCCTGGTGAACAGACTCACAGTGTCCATCCTTTTTCCTTTCAAAAGTCACTGTCATTTTGCATTCCCACCAACAGTGAATGAGATTTGCTACTGCTCGACAACCTCATCAGCACTTGGTATTTCCAGTGCCCTGAATTTTAGTCATTCTAATAGGTGTGCTATGGAATCTCATCTTTTTTGTTCCTTATGTGTGATCTAGAAGATTTTTTTTTTAAAGATTTATTTATTTGTGCATACAGAACTGGGGTACAGGCCAGAGGTGCAGGGGCAGTGAGAAGATTTCACCAGAGACGGTGGGGAGCAGAACAGGCAGATCAACGAAGTACACTGCTGAGGGTAGGTCAGGAGAGGTCTGCCGCGCCATGTGAGTCACCTCTGTGTGGGGGATCGAACTCACACTAACACTGCTGCAGCCAGCATGCAGTGCTGTGTCCTAACCCACTGTGCCACCAGATATTTCTGCAAATATTTCTTCCAGTTATGACTTGTCTTTCTTTTAGTGTCTTTTGCAGAGTAGAGGCTTTATTTATTTTATTTTTTCATTGAAGAAGTGGGGTGTAGACCAGAGGTGAGGGGGAATGGGGGAGAAGATTCACCAGGGACATATTGGGGCAGATTTATTGAGCTAGCACTTCTGGGGGGCAGCAGGTATGATAGGTGAGGTCACCTGCACCTTATCTGGATTGGCTTCCTGGCTGGAGATAAACTCGGGCTGTAGTGGTGATAGTGCGGTGACTTAACCCTTAGGCCATCAGGGAGTAGATGGCCCCCCAGAGTAGAGATTTTAAATGAAGTTCAGATTTTCAGTTTCATTCATGGATCCTGTCTTTGGTGGTGTAGCTATAAACTTTTCACCAAGATCAACTAGGTTTTCTTCTATCTTCTAGGAGTTATATACTTTTTGTACTTTACATTTAGTCAGTGACCCATTTTAGTAAAGGGGTTGAGGTTATTGGTTTCTTTGTTGGCTGTGGATACCCACTTGTTCCAGTAGCATTTGTTGAAAAGACTACCTTTTTGTCTTTGCTCCTTAAAGCAAATGGTCTCATTCACTGTACTTAGGTGCATCTTTTCTCAGCCTTCTATTCTCTGATCTGCATGTTCATTCCCCATCTTAAAGACTGTACATTTGTAGTAGTCTATTTTTTTTTAATTTTTTTTATTACATAAGTTTGTAGTAGTCTATTTTTTAAAAAAGATTTATTTATGAATACAAGAACTGGGGTACAGGCCATAGGTGTGGGGGTTTAGAGGATTCACCAGAGACAGAGTGAGGTGCAGAATGAGCAGATCTACTGAAATACACTGCTATGAGACAGGAGAAGTCTGCTGCGCCATGTGGGTCAGCCCCCTGGCCTGGGCTCGGACTCATGCTGCAGTGGCTGTAAACAGCTGTGACTCAACCCCTTGAGCCATCAGGGAGGCCCTGTAGTAATCTAGAAGTCAGTTATTGTCCATCCATCTGTGTTCTTCAGTATTGTATTGGCTACTATGAGTCTTTTGCTCTAAAATTTAGTGTGTAAACATCCACAAAATACTTTGCTGGGAATTTCATTGGGATTGCATTAAATGTATAGATCAAATTGGGAAGAACTAAAAATACTGAGTCTTCCTAACCAGGAACATTGAATGTTGCTCCAGTTTCTCTCTGATTTCATTCATTGGTTTTGCAGTTTTCATCATTATTTTATTAGGTTGTTGTTTTTTTTTTTTTACCTAAATGTTTCATTTTTGGGTGCTACTATAATGCTACTGTGTTTTCAATTTCAACTTCAAATTCTACTTGTTAAGTACTGGTGTATAGTGAAGTGATTGGCTTTTGGCTGCTTACCTAGGATCCTCCAACCATACTGTAATCACTTACTACTTCCAAGAGCTTTTTTGCCTATTTGAATTGTCATCTGTAAGCAAACAGTTTTATTTCCTACTTTTCATTCTGTATGCCTACTTTTTTCTCATCTTACTGCATCAGTCTCCCAAGGTGGGACTGTCAACTCAGGACAGTCATAGTCTGAGATACTGGGTAGGTACAGATGGAGCCATGGCCTCTGCCAGTTCTGAACCTGTGTTGTCTCCTCTGCACCTAGAGCTGGAGCTGGAGGTAGGGGATTCCAGACCTCTCCTCTTGGGTTCACATCTAGCTCCTCATCTGTTCCAATGTTTCATCTGCTATTGATGCCTCTTGAGGATGTAATGGAGAGAAGCAACAGTGCACTGAGCTATCAAGTTTAGAACAAATCCTTCAGTGTTTGCTGACACCCAGCAACTTCTTGGTGTGAAGTCCTCTAGGGAAGCGAGGTCCCTAGGGAAGCATGGAAGAAGCCCCACAGTCTGTAGAGCATCTGAGATAGCACATTCTTTTCCTTGAAGAAGGTGACCAATGGCCCTCTCAAAGGTGCCCAGTTAAGTGAAGGTAGTGACTTGGAGTTGTCTGCAGTTTGTGGGAATGTCATAGTGACAGGTGCTTGTCATACCATTCTTTGCACTTGGACAAGGCCTGGCAGGACTGGAGGTCATGGTGGGGACCACTTCCCTGATAGGACCCTAAGGTGACTCTGGCCAACTTAAGCATGTTTTACAAGATTGAGCAGCTCCTGTCCAGAATCAGGGACAGGGACATGGGCCCAGCTGATGCTATGCCCCCACTCTCCTTTGCAGCTTTCTATATGAACCCAATAGCCAAGGGTACAAATATTATCGTCAGAAACTGGAGGAGTTCCGGAAAGCCAAAGCCAGCTCCACAGCCACCCCCACAGCAACTGACCTTGGTCTGAAGCACAAATCCCCTCCTGAAACCCTGTCGGAGTCCATGCCCCCCACTGCTGCCTGCCCTGTCTCATCTGCATCCTCACCCTTACCCACTGTCACCCCGGTTGCTGCCACTCCTGGAAAGCCTGCCACCACAGCCACCACAGCCACCACAGCCACCACAGCCACCGTGAAGAGGAAGCGGAAGAGTCGGTGGGGGCCCGAAGAGGACAAGGTGGAGCTCCCGCCCGCCGAGCTGGTGCAAAGGGATGTGGACACCTCTCCCTCACCTTTGTCAGGTGGGCCAGCTCCCCTTAGGTTCCCCAGCCTCTCAAAAGGGGTCTGGTTTCTTTCACTGAACATGTTTTCAGCGTTCATCTACTTTATGGTTGTATCAGAATTTCATTCTTTACCATGGCTGAGTGATGTTCTAATCTGTGATGTGCCATGCTTTTTCCATCCATCAGTTGATGGAGATTTGGATTGTCTACACCTTTTGTTTATTGTGTCTAGTGCTCAGAAGGTTAACCTGCTGTATCTTTGATTGCAGTTTGCTTGTGTCTATACTTAGAATTGGAATTGCTGGATTATCTAGCTCTATATTTAACCTTTTGAGAAATCATAAGGCAATCATTTTACACACCCCACACCTATCACAAGGGTTCCAATTAGTCCATATCCTCACCATACTACAGCTATCCTAGTGCATGCACAATAGAATCACATTGTAGTTTTGTTTACTTATTTTTAAAAATTTATTTACTTATGCTTACAGAACTGGGGTACAGTCCAGAGGTGTGGTGGGTGAGAGGATTCACCTGAGACAGAGTGGGAAGTAGAACAGGCAGATGTACTGACATACACTGCTGAGGGGAGTAGTGAGTGGGTCAGGAGAGGTCTACTATGCCATGTGGGTCAGCTCCCTGGCCAGGGAGCAAACTCCATGCTGCAGTGGCTTCTGAGAGCTTCATAGTACTGTGCTTTAACCCTTTGCACCAGGGAGAGCCCACATTGTAGTTTGAATTCAACTTTCCCTAATCAATGGATGCAATGGGTCATATGTATAGCTTGTCCATTTTTAAAATTAGATTGTTTTTCTTTCTGTTGTTAAGCCATAGAAATTCTTTGCATATTCTGGATATTAACAGCTTATGTAGATACGTTATTTGCAGTTTTTTCTTTTTTCTTTTTTTTAAAGATTATTCATACAGAACTGGGGTACAGGCCAGAGGTGCAGGGGCAGTAAGAGGATTCACGAGAGACAGAGTCCGGAGCAGAATAGGTAGATCGACAAAGAATACTGCTGAAGGGAACAGCGGGCAAGATAGGAGAGAACTGCTGCACCTTGTGGGTCACCTCAGGGACAGGGATAGAACTTGTGTTCCTGTACTCTGTTGCAGTGGCTGCAGATATCTTCATATTGCTGTGCTTGAACCTGTTGTGACACCAGGGAGGGCCCTGCATTTTATTTTTTTTTTTTGAATGTATATTAGAACTGGGGTATAGGCAGATGAGAGTATTCTGAGAATGGGGAGCAGAGCAGGTGGATCAGCTGAAATATACTGCTGAGTGGAGCTGTGGGCCCAGGATCAAACTCAGGCTGCAATGCCTGATGATAGTAACAGGGCTGAGACTAAACTCTGTGCCACCAAGGAGGTCCCTGATCTTCAGTTCTTTCCTCCTAATCTGTGGGCTGTCTTTTCATTCTCCTGATGGTGTCCTGTGGTGCACATTTTAGATTTTAATGAAGTTAACTTCTGTTGCCTTTGCTTTTGGCATCATATTTAAGAAATCATAGCCAGGGTCCTCCCTGTTGGCACAGTGGGTTAAAACACAGCACTATGAAGGTAGCTACAGCCACTTCAGCACCTGTTCAATTCTGGCCAGGGTGGTGAGCCACATGGCACAGCAGACCTCTCCCGTCTCACCCACCGCTGCCCTCAGCAGTGTACTTTATCGATCTGCCTGTTCTGCTCCCCACTCTGTCTTAGGTGAATCTGTTCACCATCCCTGCTCCTCTAGCTTGTACCCCAGTTCTGTATGCATACATAAAAAATCTTTTAAAAAAAATCACAGCCAAATCCAAGTGAATAGTGATTTGTCCTCATACTTTATAGTTCTAGACTGTTGATCCATGTTGATTTTTATGGTGTAAGACAAGGTTTCAATTTCATTCCTTTGCACATAGATCTAATTTTCCTGTCACCATTATTGGAGAGACTTTCCTTTCCCCATTGAATAGTCTTGACAAGCTTGTCAGAACCAATTGATGACCTCCCTAGTGGCTCATGGGGTTAAGTCTCAACACTGTAAAGCTTTCAGCAGCTACTGTAGCATAAGTTCTATCCCCACTCAGGAGCTGACCCACAGGACAGCAGACCTCTCCTGTCTCACCTGCTGTTCCCCTCAAACGTGTATTTGAGTAGCCCACCTGTTCTGCTTCCCACTCTGTCTCTCGTGAATTCTCTCACCCCACTACACCTCTGTCCTGTGCCCCAGCTCTTGTATTGTGTAAGTAAGTAAAACTTTTAAAACAAAAAACAAAAAGCAGTTGAACAGTTGTATATTTCTGGACTCTCTGTTCTGTTTACATTGGTTTGTATGCCAACAGCATGCTGTTTTTTTAAAAAAGATTTATTTATTTATGCATAAAGAACTGGGGTACAGGCCAGAAGTGCAGGGACAGTGAGAAAATTCACCAGAGAGAGAGTGGGGAGAGAGCAGGCAGATTGACGAAGTACACTGCTGAGAGAAGCAGTGGGCGAGACAGATAAGGCCTGCTGAGCCATGTGGCCGTGGATCAAACTTATGCTGAAATGGCTACCGCCAGTTCTTCAGTACTGCATTTCAATTGCTGAGCCACCAGGCAGGGCCCACAATACGCTGTTTTGATAACATTAGCTTTGCAGTAAGTCTTGAAATCAGGAGTGTGATGCCTCCACCTTTGTTCTTTTTTATTTATTTATTTTCTTTTTAAAAAATTTCTTTAGGCTATCATGGGTCCCTTGAATTTTCATGTGAATGTTTGGATTGGCTTTCTATTGTTGTTGTTTAACAGAGAACACCACTGACATTTTGATAGTCATTATATTGACTCTCTAGATTGATTTGGGGTAGTATTGACATGTTAACAATATTTAAGTTTTCCTGTTTGTAAACCTGGGTATCTTTCCATTTGCTTGTCATCTTTAATTTTCTTTGACATATTTTATAGTCTCATTGAATGTCCTTGGTTAAATTTATTCATGATTTGTTCGTTTTGATGCTATTGTATATGAAGTTTTTCAGATTCTTAGTTGCTCATGGAAAGCAGTAACTGATTCTTTTTTTAAAAGATTTATTTATTTATACATACAAGAACTGGGGTATAGGACAGAGGTACAGGGAGTGAGAGGATTCACCAGCAACAGAGTGGAGAGCAGAACAAGCAGATTGACTGAAATACACTACGGAGGGGAGCAGCTGGCGGGTCAGGGGAGGTCTGCCATGCCATGCCATGGCTGGGGCTTGAACTCATACTGCTATGGCAGTGGATAGCTTCATAGTGCTTCTGCCACCAGGGAGGTCCCATAAACTGATTTTTGTGTGTTGATTATGTCTTTCAATTTTGTTGAATTTATAGGCACTGATAGTCTTTTTGTAAATTTTTTACAAATATGATCATGTCATCTGCAAATAGATGTAGTTTGACTTTTTTCCATTTCAATTTGGATGCTTCTCATTTCTTTTTCATGCTAAATTGCTTTGGCTCTGATTTCTAATATGATATCTTTTGAAAGTAGGGAAAATGGACATTCTTCCTTGTTCCTGATCATGGCGACACTTTCAGTCTTTTATCACTGAGTATAATGTTAGCTATGTTTTTTTTGTAATTTTAATTTTATGGCTGTATATATTTTAAAGATTTATGTATGCATATAGGCACTGGGGTATAGGCCAGAGGTGTGCGGAAGGTGAGAGGATTCACTAGAGACAGAGTGAGGAGCAGAGTGAGGTGGGTCTACTGAAATACACTGCAGAGGGGAGCAGAGGGTGAGACAAGGAGCGGTCTGCCAAGTCATGTGGCTCACCTCCCTGGCCAGGGATTGAATGCATGCTGCAGTGGCTTTGGATAGTTTCATAGTGCTGTGCTTTAACCCGTTGTGCCACCAGGGAGGGCACTCAACTTCCATTTTTTAGAAAGCTTGTTGTATTGCTTTTGTAACCAGGAGAAGGAGAAAAAAATTATGTTTTAGAAAGATTTATTTATTTATGCATAAAAACTGGTGCATAGGTAAGAGACATGGGGGTTAGGGGTGAGAGGATTCACCAGAGACAGAGTGGGGAGCAGAACAGGCAGATCCTCTCCTTGTCAGTGTAAAGGAGCAACTGGCAAGACAGGAGAGGTCTGTTTGCTGTATGGGTCAGCTTCCTGGCCAGGGATCGAACTCCTGCTGCAGTGGCTGCAGATAACTTCACAGTACTGAGACTTAACCCCTTGTACCACCAGTGAAATCCTACTGTATATTTTTTACATAGCGTTTATTATGTTGAAGAAGTTTCCATCTGTTCATAGTTTGTCAGGAAAGAGTGATTTTGTCAGATGCTTTACAACATCAACTGATCATGTGGTTCCCATCCCCCTTTATTCTATTAATGTGGTATGTTACCACATTCTGTTAATATAGTGTGTTGATTGATTTCTTACGTGAACCACCCCTGTATTTCTGCTATAAATTTGACTTGGTCATGGTGTATAATCCTTTTAACATGCTGCTGTATTTCTTTTTTTTTTAAAGATTATTTATTTATGTGTACATGAACTAGGGCGCACAGGCCAGAGGTGCAGGGCTGAGAGAATTTGCCAGAGACATAATGGGGAGCAGAACAGGCAGATCAGAGCCACTGAAATATACTGGTAATACTGGTAAGGGGAGCAGCTGGCAAGACAGAGAGGTCGGCTGTGCCATGTGTAGCTCCCTGGCCAGGAGTCAGACTCAGGCCACAGCAGTGCTAGTACTAAGACTTAACCTCTATGCAACCAGGGAGGCCTCCTCTCTTCTATTTTTAAAACTTTGAGAGTCAGTTTCAGTTATTTAGTTTTAAGTATTTTATAGCCTGTCCCAGTGATGCCACCTGGCCCTGGGCTTTTCCTTGTTGGCAGGTTTCTGTTTATTAATTGTACTTGTCTTTCTAAGTCTGTTAAGGTTTCCTATATTGTCTAGAGGTAGGTTTGGTAGTTTATGCATTCCAAGGAATGTTTCCACAGTGAGGGCTATCCAGTCTGTTACCATGCAGTTATTCATAGTATTCTTGTATAGTCATTTGTATTTCTGTAAGGTTATTAGTAATATGTTTTCTTTCATTTCTGATTTTAGTGTGTGTGTCTTCCATTTTTCTTAGTCAATCTAGATTACTTTGTCAGTTTCGTTTTTCTTTTTAAAACATCTTTTTTTTTTTTTTTTGGTTTCATGGAATTTCTCCATTGTATTTCTATTCTGTTTCACTTATTTCTGTTTTAATCTTTGTTTCTTCCATCTGCTAGCTTTGGAATTAGTTTGCTCTTTTCTAGAACCTTAAGGTGAGAACTTTTCTTAATGTGAGCACTTACAACTGTATGCTTTCCCCTAAGCACTGCTTCTCCTGCATCCTGTCAGTTCTGGTACGTTATGTGAAATACACAGTGATAAAACAGTGATTGTCATGGTCAATTTGGCATAATTACTCCTATCCTCTCTTCTTGATAGCAGTTTCATGATGATCTGATTTCTCATTTTCTGCTGAAAACCTGCAGGTATTAGGTGTCTATTGTTATTATACTTGCAAATGGTAATTGGTAACTGAGAGATGCTGTCTCATGCCATCGTCTAACTTGCCCATTCAGTATGCACCTTTGGGAGGAAGTGTTCCCACCTTCCCCACCCCCCACTAGAATAGACCTGGCTCACAGTAAGTTGTGTCTGAGCTTTTGGCTCTCATCTGTATTTGCCTTACTGGGACTGGGTTGAATAGGAAGGCAGCTCAGCTTATCACAGGTTAGGTCTACAGACCCTCCTGTCCAGACTGAGGGATCTCCTGATCAGTGCCTGGGGTCCAAGGAGAAAACTGAAGATTCTGCTCCTCCTTGGGGCTCTAGGTGTCACCTACCTAAGTCTTGGTAGTTAACTTGGGTTGGGTTGTGCTCAATGCTGAACTAGGTGCTAGCTATAAAGGAAGGGGCTAGGATCTAGCATGATACATGCACATCCACTGAGACTGTGTCCCTTGGATTTGGCTTCCGTACCCTCCTGGTAGAGAAGCCACATTCCTCTTCTGGCAGTGGACAAGCATGGATTCTGAAGCCTCAAACTAAGGTAGAGTTCTTCTTATCCATGTTGGCCTTAGGGGAACATGGGTAGCCCCTCACTGGCTGCTCGCTGAGAAAGTGGCCTGAGGAAAATAGCTGTGGGTGGGCTGCTCAGTCCTTGTCTTCCTGGCCCTCTCCACAGGACTCCCCTACATCCTGCTGTGGCCCCACATAATTTTTGAGATGAGGTTGGTTGCAATCATGAAATCAAGGGGCAGATGTGGGTGGTTCTTGGGGCAAAGATCTAGCCCCTGGGAGGACCCAATTTATTGCACCCTCCCAGGGGGATCCCTGCAACCCTCTCTACCTGACTTTTCTCCAGGAAGCTACTGCCTGGGGAGTGGTTGTTTCTTATACCCAGGAGAGGCCATAGCAGCTTCTTCACACAGATTAGTGTTGTTGGCTCTAGCCAAGCTCAAAGCTGATGCCAAATTAAATGTCAATAGCTTTGAGGGTGGTTGGCTGCCTCCCCAGAAGAAGCTAACAAACCACACGATAAGTCTTATGCCAGACTCTGAGCCCAGGTGTGTCTACGCCAATGTCTGTTGACTGCAAGACTGACTTCCTGGAGTCTGTATATGGAAATAGACATGCACACCTCTCAGACACACACAGCACCTGTTTACCTTTCAAATACACATGTACACATGCACATGCATGTGCATACTCATCGCCACTCATTTATCTCAGGCTTTGCAGAGTCCTGCTGTGTCACCATTATCCTAGATCTCTTGAGTTGTATCAGCATCTACACACAGTGGTAGCAGAGCCTGCCTAGAGGATCCCACAGGGGATGACATCAGATGTGTCCCCTGCGGTCAAGTGACATGGTAAACTAACTCACCTGGCGGGAGGTCCTGCCATGCTTGCTGGCAGGTTTCATTAGTTCACAGGTTCCACAGCACACATAGGAGCAGGACATTGCATGTGTCTGTCATTGATTGTCTTGTGTCTTATTTCCAGTTCAGGACCTCAAGGGGCTTGGCTATGAGAAGGGAAAACCAGTAGGTCTGGTGGGTGTCACAGAGCTCTCAGACGCTCAGAAGAAGCAGCTGAAAGAACAACAGGAGGTGAGATTGTGTAGGGCAGAACAAGCAGGCTCCATAGGGCCAATGGTGTTGTCCCTGACTCTGCCCCAGAGTGCAGTGGCCACAGTATAGTCTGAGCCTCCTGTGCAGGCAGGTTCTTTCTGAGGACCCTCACCAGCATGCATTCAGGCCCAGAGTCTAGGCCTTCTTGTGCTGCTGGGCAGTCCCCACGCCAGTACTCATGGCTGGTTCACCTGGGTAGTCTCTATTGAAATCTTGTTTATTTCTCCCAGCATCCAGTACAGGACAAGCCTTACTAGAATAAGATGCTCTGAGCACTGTGGCCGCTACTCATATGGTATTGGAAAGTGTTGGGGTAATGCCAGCTGGGCAGAGATTCTGTTGTGGGGGACACAGCCTCTGCTGCTTCCCTTGGGAACTGGAGGTACCAGCCTATGTGTCCTGAAGCACCTCCAGACCATAAATAACCCTCTTATGTCACCATTGACCCTCCCAAAGGTCAAAAGCCCATGTTACTGCCCAGTACACAGTGCCAGTGCCATAATGTTCTGGGTTCTGAGTAGGCCTGGGGTTCTAGGCAAGTAGAGAGGGGTCCTGCATGCTCTACCTGGGATTCCAGGACCCAAGTAACATCTTGACATCCTGGGTACTTGAGAGTACTCTCTGAGTCTTGTCCATGCCTATCCCTTATCACTAGCTGTGCTCCCACAGATGCAACAGATGTATGACATGATCATGCAGCACAAGCGAGCGATGCAAGACATGCAGCTGCTGTGGGAGAAGGCACTGCAGCAACACCAACACGGCTATGACAGTGATGAGGAGGTGGACAGTGAACTGGGCACCTGGGAACACCAACTGCGGCGCATGGAGATGGACAAGACTCGGGGTGGGCCCAGACGTGGTTGTGAGGATGGGACTCATACAAGAGTGGGAGTGTGGATGGGGGATGTCAGAACTTTGGGAACACAGGACAGTACTCCCACCTGCCCAGAAGGCACCTGCTCAGAGGCACCACACTGGTCTTGAACCACCAGCCTGATTCAGACCCCAGCCCACCTCCCTTGCCTGCAGGGCCTTGGGTGAGACTCTCTATGCCTTTTTCCTCCATAGTGAAAGGAATAGTTCTTAACATATCACTCAACAGTGCCACCTGAGGGAAGCAGGTGCCCAAATCAAGGCCTTAATCAGCTGCACCCTGAACCTCTTTGCCTTGGGGTACTGCTTTCCACCCCTTATTCTTTTCTCCCTCTCTGGGCAGAGTGGGCTGAGCAGCTGACCAAGATGGGCCGGGGGAAACACTTCATTGGAGACTTCCTGCCACCAGACGAGTTGGAAAAGTTCATGGAGACTTTCAAGGCCCTGAAGGTGAGCTGGGAGGGCCTTGGGCCTCTATCTTGGGCCATCCAGCCCTCCTGCAGCCTACTCACCTTGCGATGCCTGCTGGAGGTAGCCTCAGCCCCCACACACTCAGGAGGAGCTGGCTCTCCTGCCATGAGAGGCATCTGCTTATGGCAGATGCTGTCTGTGTAGAGAATTAGCAAATAGAAGCTCAGCTGCCACTTTAGAAACATTTCCTGGGGCTCCAGGGAAATTCTTCCAGTGGAGCCAATTAAGTACCTTTACAGGCAGTGTTTCTCAGGCAGAAGCCCAGCAGACAGGCTTTCCGGAGGAGAGTTAACTGTTCCTCCTGTGCCATGAGACACCAAGGAGAGATGGCCAACTTGCTGCATTCCATGTGGCCTTTGGGGGTTTTGTAAAACTTCTTTGTCCTTTGAACCACATGACAGGGTGGCCTTCTCATTCACCATATTTCCTATTTAGTACTCTGTAAGATATCACCTTGACATATGACAGGGGCTTGGCTTTGCGACTCATCTTTCCCATGTGCATGCAGCCTTTTGTGACCCTGTCACCTGATTCTCTTTGGCCAGCCAGGAGTACATAAGTTTGGCTCTCAGGAGCCTAATAAGGAAGGAGGAACTTGATCCATTTTGAGGCATGACTTGGGAAGGGAGGTAGATGGGAAGGTGGTCCCAGCAGCCAATGTCTTTAGTCGGGGGTTTCCAGCTGCTGCTCTGATGGATAACAATGCCTTCTTGCCCTGCAGGAGGGCCGAGAACCTGACTACTCAGAGTACAAGGAGTTCAAGCTGACAGTGGAGAACATTGGCTACCAAATGCTGATGAAGATGGGCTGGAAGGAGGGTGAAGGGCTGGGTTCAGATGGCCAGGGCATCAAGAACCCTGTCAACAAGTGAGTGTGGTCAAAGAGGGTGAAGGAGGGGAGAGTCCCAGAACACCATAAACAAGCGAGTGCAGTCTGTGTTGGATGCAGAGTAAAGTCCCACTGGGAAACAGGCCCATTGACCCTGCTTCCACAGATGTCCCTGCACCTCTAGCTGCAATGAGGTGCTGCTATTGAGCCCAGCCAAGTGGGGTGAGCCTCCCTTCCTCAAACTTAGGCTCTCCACCCCCTCTCCTGCCTGTGGCACCAACTTGGATCCCTGCTCACACTTCCCATCACCGCTCTGCAGGGGCACTACCACAGTGGATGGCGCCGGCTTCGGCATTGACCGGCCAGCCGAGCTCTCCAAGGAAGATGACGAGTATGAGGCCTTCCGCAAGAGGATGATGCTGGCCTACCGCTTTCGGCCCAACCCCCTGGTGCGTGTGCCCCATCCTCACGTGGCTTCCTCACAGCCCATGTGCTCCTCTAAAGTGTCCCTCTGTCTGAGTGAGGCCACTCTAGTGACTCCCACCCACCACTCCCCAAACCTGCCCTCCCCTTCTAGGGATATGAACTCAGCTGCCCTGGGAGATTCTGAATGGGAGGAGCTGTCTGTTTTCATCCTTAATCTTCCCCTTTTATCTCTGCGCTTCCCCTGCTCCTCCCAGAACAACCCTAGGCGGCCTTACTACTGAGTGTTGTGGAGAGACACCAACATATTTCAAGCACCCGGCATCCCTGGACTGTGGAATGTTCCGGCCTGCATTTCTGCCTGCCCTTCCGTTGTTGCCAGTGTTGTGCCGTGTATTAAAAGTCCCAGTGCTTGCCCACTTAGGCGGCCTGGTATTGCCATCACCAGAAATTCCTTCTGTTCTTTACCTGGGGCAGGTGGGTGGGAACAAGATGCTATGATGAAGCTACCCAGAGCACTGTCTGGCCCTCTGCCCATGGAATCTCCGTCCCTCATCAGCCTGGGTTGGAGTTGGGAAGGTCATGTGGGCTCCCTCTGGAAGGCGGGGGAGTGAAGGACTTTTTATACGTAAACCTCCAGGATGACTGACGGGCCAACTCTGATCCAGCAAACACCTTTGTGCAGGGAGGAGGTAAGGGAGAGGCCGTGCATGGCCTGATCCTCCAGACATTTGGGGCAGGTGGTCACAGGGCACAGTTGTGCCCCTCATCTCACCAGTAAGTGACTCTGGAGCTGGTGCTCATATTTGTCTAAAGAAAGTTAATGAACAGTAGGAACTGGCACTGGAGAAGTTGATCTGGGCAGTGTTGGGGTGAGAAGACTCCCACAGAGCCCAGATTGGCATGAACCACCTATCCCTGTCTCTGGAAGTGGGGAGTGAAGGGCTCTTTGTATGTACACTGCCACAGGCAGGACAAGGGTGTGACAGGCCGGGTCCCCAGACATGGTAGTTCTGTTTGTGCAGACACTGGTTCCAGTGATGTCAACCATGAGCCTTGTGGTCAAGCACCCAACCATTGAATTCTTGGTGAAGTTCACCAAACTAGTCTGGACTTCATTCCCACTTTGGTGGAGGAAGAGGAGTGTGCCAGGTGTCCTTTTTGTAAAAGTGCCTCCTAGTAGTGAGACTCAGCCTCAGATAGCTGGTTGAGTCATCCCTGGCCTTGCAGGAAGGGTGGGCATGTGTGGTTGGGCAGTCTGCTTGGAGGAGGAGAGACTTGCTTCCAGAAGTGAGGAAATAGGACTCAGAAGTGATCCACATGGGTGCAGCAGACCTCTCCTGTGTTGCCTGCTGCTCCCCTCAGCAGCATACTTCGTCAATATGCCTGTTCTGCTCCCCACTCCATTTCTGGTGAATCCTCTCACCACCCCTGCACCTCTAGTCTGAACCCCAGTTCTGTATGCACAAATAAATAAATCTCAAAAAAAAAAAAAAAAAAAAAAGTGAGAGGGCCCTCCCTTGTGGCGCAGTGGGTTAAAGCACAGCACTAAGAAGATAAAGCCACTTTAGCACAAGTTCGATTCCTGCCCTGGGGGTGACCCGCATGGCATGACAGAGCTCTCCTGATCTGCCCACTGCTCCCCTCAGCAGTGTACTTTGTTGATGTCTGTTCTGCTCCCCACTCTGCCTCTGGTGAATCCTCTCACCATCCCTGCACCTCTGGCCTGTACCCCAGCTCTGTATGCATAAATAAACCTTTTTTTAAAAAAAGAGAAAATATGAGGCTTGCAGGATGGCTGTCAGCATTGCTAGACTTGGGAAAGATAAAGAGATGAGACTAGAGCCTCAGTCAGCCTAGAGATTCTGAATTTAACTCCATGGGCATAGACGTCTGTGCAGGGAGGTTGTTGGGTCCGTGATGAGCTTGTCACTTAGACTCAGATGGACTCAGCTGGCACAATTCCAAGGAGCTGCATGAAGGAACTCCAAGCTCTGAACTCTCCCAGTTCCCAGACTGTGGGTACCCTCGGGTGGGAGTCAGGCACTGTTCACCTTGTTTCCAGCAGCAAGTACACGGATGAGAACTGAGGCTAGGGTGATGGTGGTGGCAAAAACAGCAGGTTGCCTTCTGACCCTCATATGGCAGCCCTCCCATCCAGTCCAAATCCCCCGTTTCTTCCCCCCCTGGACTCTGCTTTATCTATGCACACAAAACTGGGGTACAGGCCAGAGGTGCAGGGGTGGGGGTAAGGGTTCACCAAAGAGAGTTGGGAGCAGAACAAGTGCATCTCCTGAAACACTGTTGAGGGGAACAGCATTCAGTCGAGTCAGGAGAGGTCTGCCACACCATGTGGGTCACCTCCCTGGCCAGGTATTGAACTTGTGCTCCTGCCTAGAGGCTGCACATTGCTTCATAGTGCTGTGCTTTAACACCTTGAGATGCCAAGGAGGGCCCTGCCCCCTAAAATTTTTTTTTTTAAGATTTATTTACGCATATAGAACTGGGGTACAGGTCAGAGGTGAAGGGGCACTGAGAGGATTCACAGAGACAGTGTGGAGCAGAACGGGCAGATTGGCGAAGTACACTGCTGAGGGCAGCCGTGGGAAGATAAAGCAGAGGTCTGCTGCTTCATGTGGGTCAATGTCAGGGCTGGGTGTCCCTGTGGCTAGCTTGCAGTGCTGTGCCCTAACCCACTGTGCCACCAGGGAGGGCCAGCCCCCTAAATTCTTAGAATTATTTCCACCTCCACCTTTTAGTCTCCATTGTGCTGGGAGCCCATTTCCTCCTGTAAACAGAGGCCAGGGCTCAAGGAAGCCACACACGACACCTTGTGGGCACCACCACAGTAGTCAATCTAGTTAAAAGGACCCCAAACCCAGGGCCTGCCAACCCTTCATCCTTGTCAGAGCCTCATACCTGGACTCTGACTACATGTGCCACTGCTCATCTAGAAAACAAACGCAAGGGTGCCAAAGGGAGCTCAGGCTCAACCAATGAGACATCCAAGTTCTACACAGTTGATGCTGGTGGGAGGGAGGTTTGGGGAAGGGCAGAGGTAAAGAGTGTCTGAGGTTGAGGTTGGTACATCCCTACTTTGGGATAAAGAATGCAGGAGTTAAGTCCCCAGTTCAGGCGCAGAGTGGGAAGGCCAGGACAGTTCTGGCTTCAACAAGTGCTCTGAGGCCGCCTGTTCTATCCTTCAACAGAAAGGGAAACCGAGGCTGGGCACAGGACCTAGGAGGAGGGTAGGACCTGTTGCAAGGGGCGGGGACTCAGGCTGCCTGGGAGTGCTCAGGTCAGTCCAGGAGGTGGCGGACCAGGAACCGTGGGGGAGGTGGGGACGACCTTTGCGCAGGGCGGGGCCTGAGGGACTGGACTGGTCGGGGCAACCCCGCCTGAAGCCCCGTGGCTGAGCTGCTGAGGCCTGAGCCCTGCGGGTATCCCGACCCACCGCTATGGACTTACCGCCGCTGGCCGGCAAGATCGCGGCTCTGTCACTTGGCGCCCTCCCGGTGTCTTATGTGCTCAACCACGTCTCGGAGCTCTCACAGTGCGTGTGGGGAGGTTATGCGGGGCGGGCTGGGGCCAAGGAACGCACTGTAGAGAGGATAAACTGTGGTTGCCCAGGTCCGGGAGCCTGGCACCTCCATGCAGTTCTGCCCACGAAGAAGGGGGGCCGGATCAGAAATACCTCTCTACAACCAGAAGTCTCTTTCTGTTGGTCAGACAATGTGTTGTGGGGTTGGGGACACTCAATGGCAGTTTGGGACCTGAGGAGAAGGGGTGTAAAGCTTTAAGAGTACCCCAAAGATCAGAGTTTCAGTGGGTTTCGCAGAGAAGTATCGCATACTTTCCCAAGTCACCAAGAATTTGCCCAGATAAGGCCATAGTGACCTGACTCTTGCTACACACTCACTACCCCACCATCCCTATCAGGTGATTCCTTCATCACCTAACTATCAGAAGTGGGGCTTCCTTCAGGGCTGGCCCACCTGCTCCCTAGCTTCAGTTTTCCTTATATTCCTTGACCTCTCCCTTTCCCTTTCCTGTCTTCTAGCCCTAGAAGGCAGCCCAGTGGATCCAGTCACTGGGTACCAGGCATATGAAAGCCCCTCAACACCCCCAACCAAAAAACAGGGCAAAAAGTGTAGTGTACTGACTTAGGAGTTGACTCCTCAGGTACAAATATTCCTGGCTTCATCCTCTTGGATGAGCCTGGTTGCTCTGGGACTCCCCGATTCTTCCTTCTATAATAAATAAGACCTAGATCCTATCCCATAGTTATAATTAAGAATTAAGAATTGTGTGCAAATACTGTTAATGGCCTCATCTGCTGATTATAATTGTTATTGGTAAGATGGAACTAGGATGGGATGCCAGGTGTCAAAAGAATTCATGAGAAAGGGATCTAGAGAGAATGTGGGGGAGAGTGTGTGACTCTGGATAAACCTGTGCCCTCTCTGGACCTTAGTTTGCCATGTATTAGGGGCCATCCAGAGATAACTGGCTTATATTATCCATGCACTTAATGACCTGCCTTATCAGGTTGATGGAGACTGATCAGGGCAGGGTGAGGTAGAATTAGGGAAGCCTTTGGACTTTAGCTGGGAGGAGTCTGAGCTTCAGACAGGTATACAGAGTGAATACTAGAGACCCTCTGGCAGAGTTGGGAATTGTCTCACCAGCAAGGTTTGGCATTGTTGAATGAATGACAGGTTGAGCCAAACACATATCAGCAAGTGAGAGGAAAATTGTCTAGTCAGAAGTGTCAATAATATACTTGACCCAAGTTCGGCAACAATCTTTACTGATGAGTTGGGGAGATTTTTGGAGAGAGACAATATAGATAGGCCAGGAAGAATAAGTAGGAACATGCCAAGTGGAAAAGATATTTTTTGGGTAGATTTTCCAGGAGGGAGAAGCAGCTTGAGAGAGAGTTTCAGGAAATGGCATTCCTGGATGACAGACATTTCAGTCTTCTCACCTGGAGTGTCCCAGAGTTTGTGCTGCCCTCATTAGGTGAAATGGGCCCCATCAATGGGCTTGGCCTCCCTCACTTGGTTTTTTTCCTCCACAGCCCCCTAGGGGTGGCGTTGATGAGTATACTGGTCCTGGGCCTGCTCTTTGTGGCTATCTACAGTTTGTCCCGAGGTGATATCTACTATGACCCACTCTATGCTGGTGAGTCAGTGGGAAGATCCTGAGGAAGAGAACTGCCTGGACCAGGGTCTCCTCCATTGGACTGGTGATCATTGAAGGGCGCTCATCAAACTGAAGCACCTCAAAAAGACCTGGCTTTTTGGCATTATTGAATCAGTGACAAATTGAGTCAAACATATATTGTCAACAAGTGACAGGAAAATTATATAGTCAGAAGTATGACCCTAAACTCTATTGAAGGGAAACTTCAAAGAGCCTTCCTCCTCTGATTTGGGGCTCCAAAG